CTACTAGATGGGTACATGCATTAAGGAACACCTATAAATATATTCAGTCTTAAAACTATTTGGTTAACGTTCCTCTGACCAAGGATCTGTGAACTGCCGTTCACTTAGATTTTGTAAACTCTTGGAAGTCAAGCTTCCTCTGTGCAAGGTGCCGTGTGACTCGTCACACCACCTGACGAGCTGATGCCTATTGTTGGTTGACCTGATCATAACAAGAGATTGAAGAGCCAGATGCATTCGTTGTTCGTTTAGATATGTCTATATGCTATGAATACGCGCAGGTGAGACACCACTACTGGCACTCCGACCGGGCAGTTCTGGATGAACCTATGACATAACTATGATGCCGCATATGGTGGTCGTCCAGCCCTTTGCGGGTCGAGACAGAGAGTTTTGTTCTTTTTTGATCGAGGAAGTTGAGTTGGTCATCAATTTGGCCATTTTCCAGACGGGGCGACAGCGCGTCGCGCATACTGCCTTTAAACTAGGAAGCCGCGCGCGAGAATAGGCACATATGTGCAGTCCTCTCTGAAGATAACGTTTCCAACATAGGGAGATTTTGGTGCTTCATATGCCGTTGGACCGCCACCCTCTGGACAGGCTTTTAGAGTAAGTTAAATGAGAACGATATTGCCTGCCTATCAAGAAAAGCGAGAAATAGCGGACTGTATCCAATGTACAAAATATCATCGTAGCAGTAGCATCAGACCCTCTTCCAATGGCAATAACAATTTTAATCGACATTGTGGCTCTTCAAACAGTTGCGGCTCGCATTGACATCTTTAGCGTACTCTATATTTCTTTCGCGGATGACGTGAGTGTTGTATGACAAATGGACTACCTTTTTCGTGTTCCGAGAGCTTTGAAGCTTTTTCAATGTCACAAAAACAATTAAGCTTAGCTCAGCTATTATAAAAAGAAAAGTATATTTGGCTGCTAAGCAGCTCTGTACAAATCACAAATGTCCATCTGTGATAGCACAAAAAATCTATGTCATGTGTTCCCACTTTGTCCCTGGCTAAGAGCGGCACGAAGGATAGATGCCCCACGCAAAGTCGTTTGAGAAAACTGTCTCGAGGAAATGTTTAGTCTTAGTAAGCCTCCCTACATCTAGTGTGTCTTCGGCAACAACGAAACCCCTCTTCTAAATTGCTTCAGTGAAAAATATGACTTGCTGGTAGATCCTGGAAAAACATTGGATTTAAGATTGGCTAGTGCCTCTGTCCAAACAAAGGATATGGAAGTGGCTTTGCCTTGACAGCTACTTGCATAAGATAGTGCGCATACGTCGAAATTATATGATCTTTCCACAATTTCTTTAAGAAGAGGGATGAATGATTTTGGATCGCGTGAAAAATGAAAAGAACAAGGCTAAAAAAATGCGCAGTCATGCCTCCTTTTTGGCTCTCTCGAATCTAACTCAGCCAATTCATGTCGTCTATGATGCTCGATATCTGTCAAAGGCTGTGCTATACGGCAAGCTAGTGTCATTGGGCGTGATATCGTGATCGCATTTGAGTCTCGTAAGTGTAAAGCGGTAGCGAAGAACACCCCCTTTCACGTCAATAAGCTACTTGCGATAAGGGACAATATTGTTACGTTCAAGATACACTTGCTTGGCTCTGAGCCCTTTGTGATCCATACAAATTATGCGTTATTGCACAGCGACATCGACACCAAATATTTCACCAAAACATAGAGTAGTAGTTTTCTTCGTCGAGTATACCTTTAAAACAAAGTATTTAAAGTGGGTCGACTCAATGTGGAGGTAGATGCGCTTTCTCGTTACTCCGACGTTGAAAATCTGCATGTCATGATAGTTGCTTTGCAATTACGTACTGTGCACGGCACATATTTCATTGCTGAACGCTTTAAGAGAAGGTCGTGTACAATCTTGCATGCTGCTCATCCGAATTGCGCGGTTGGGCGTCGGTACCGCTGTACCTCTTTCCATAGCTTGTTGTGTTACAGCACTGACCAACTTGACACTCAGCATGCGGTTGTACTATACGATAATTATTTCAATTACAAAGTACTGTATAAGACACCTGAATCCCCTTTGTAATGGCCGCCCTGATGGCGACGAGATATTCTGCTGTCAGTGGTAAAACATGTATAAGTGGGTAAGTCGTTTGTGCGCACGCGTACAACGTGTCACTAGGCTAATCCCTCATAGCATGCCTCGGTAAGTTTGACCTGCCGATTAAAGCGGGGCGTTGGCTGTTTGCACGTGCGATATCGCTTCTTTTCCCAATAGATGTGTCTTGGTAGTACCGGTATTGTGACCTTGGTGACCTCCGGACCAGGATAGCTCATCTTATTGCTGGTAGCGACTCATGACCGACTCAACTCTCCTCGTCCAAAGGAAAGGATATTGACTGTCTTGTCCCACAAAGGTCCGGACGACCACCATCTACCGTATCAAAACAATGCCATAATGTCTCCCAGAGATGTCCGGTTGGGGTGCCTGTAGTGGTGTCTCACCAGCAAATTTTCATAGCGGATAAACATCTCCGGGAGAACAACTAACGCATCTGGCTATTCAAACGCTATTTATAGCCATGTCAGGACAAACAAAAGGCATCAGCACTCCAAGCATGTCTTGTTGTCCTGGGGCGGGAAATCGATCAATTCGTGTGTCATCCTCACAAACGATATGACAACAAATGTTACCTATTGACCTATAACCTTACACGGAGAATGCCTATGTCAAAAGCAGCGCCAAGTGCACTTATAGTAATCCTGTACGAAGTTTGCTCCGCAATTTTTGAGATTAAATTTATGCTAATCGAGGTTTAATATTAATATTGGTACTATACCGATTGAGAAATTCAGTTATATAATAATTTTTATTGTTTGACCGGGGCTAATTACCAAAGTTTACTCTTCAACGAATCCCATCATCTTCACTGGCACCGAGGCCATGCCTTTGCTCATAGAGTTTGCGTTGAGATCAATTCATATATTTTTAGGCCTTACTTTATTTTCACAAATGATCTTTATCATCTGGTGTATCATAGCATTGTCAAGCGCACGACGTTACAGCTGAAATACAAGGAATGCTAAACCATCAACGTGCCATTAGCAAAGGCATGAAATACAGTGATGAATTTATCAAAGGTATTTTTCACCAAACAAACACGCTTCTTGAGCAGTGATGTCTGAGTCGTTAAAAGTTTTTAACAACTTCACTTTATTAAACGCTTTTTGACTTTACTAAGAGAATTTGAGCGCATCTCGTATTCCATGCAAGCTGTCTCAACTCGCTTTAAGATTTCGCCATGAACTATTCCGGAAACCTGAGCGTTTTCTTGGTCGAAAAGACATTAAAAATTTAGTGACCAATTGAGTAAGCCTTACCGATAAATAAGTCATCCGGGTTTGAGCCTTTTTATAAGCTCGAAGACATCAATTTCATGTGTCTGACACGACCGGCCTTCATGACCGACGCATAATATACGTTGATACCTACGAGAGTTGATCACCCCGGGTCTTCTGTATGACGAACGCGGGACCACATTCCGTGAAAACCGATGATGACTCGAACACTTGCCAGGGGATGGCAAAATGAAAAGCTATATCCCTGCTTCTAAAAAAGCTGTGGGTTTAAGTGTCACTTAAAAAAAGACTACCCCGGCGTCGTACTCCTTATAAAATATTTCTATTTCTGCCTTTGGGCCCTTGGTTAAGCTGGTAGAGTCGTGCGACGTGAGGGTTTTCCAAAAAAGGCGGCCGTCTTTGTATCGAGCTTGTGACTTGGCCCCTTTGTATAAGCGTGGCTAGATTCGGCATTGCTGAAGGTAGGCGCGAGTGTTCATCTCGATGTTGATGTCGTGCTTTACACATAGCAAACACAGCTATGATGAACGCTTCATTTCAAAATTTGTTTTCTTGAAAGCTCCTTGTATAGCTGAAAAGTGAGAAGGGAAAGTCAAATACTCAAATTGAAGCATTTTTAATTTTGGCAGTGAGACTACATCACGGTATCGTAAAAACATTGTTCATAAAGAGTATCACCGCTGCCAAATCAGCCGTGAAAAGACTCTGATGATGTGTGATCTGTGAAGTCAGACAATATCACGAACTGACTCTTGTATACGCGTCTTGCTTGCAGATTTTGCTGTCCCAATAAAAGTTTTAATCATGGCACGTGAAAATATCCTGTCTGATAATAGCTATACCCACAACGTCTCATAGTCCTCAAAGATTTCGTTGACGATCCCTGAGACTCGTGGGCTTGCAAAGCAGAAGGTTTGAGCTACCCAACCGATCCATTTCATTAACAATAGGTGTTGTTCTCGTCGTGAGTGTCTCAATATCACCATTTTTGGTGGGCAGGGGCGATATACGCGAGTCATGTGCAGAGGAGCACAACTTCAACCCACTCTGACCCGTCATACGACGAGAACCGCGATATACGTCGCTCAAATAATTCTGTAAGAAATGAAATGCCCCTACCAAAGGATGGTATACCGATAAGATTTCGCTACTCTTTCCTGCCCAAATCGATATAACATCATACGTTTATGCCAAGGGTAATTGCACTATGGATAGTAACATTATGATACTCTCTGATTGGCTCAAATAAGCCAGTAACCAGGCAGCAATCAGCAAAATATTCAGCATGTGTCGATTAAGGATCGCAATCTTAGGAAGAAGCAACATTTTTGCGAACTTAAGACTCATCAATTGTTTTGCATTAATTCATATGGTTCTCAAGTGCCTATCGGTACATTTAAGTCCAAGCATCGAATCATTGTGGCTTTGCACTGGAACCAGTCGCATAAGAATCGGCGCAAACGATGCATGATCGCTAACTACGTGAAGAATCTTGCCCAACAAAATCTTTCTCCGCCGACGATTATTCACGACAATAACAAATTACAGTGCTAATTTGCTAGAATATCTTCACAAGATCTGGATGAAGGTGATATAGCTTGGCGATGTGTGTCCAGCACTTATCGAGGACGAATGAGATATCACTCTTCTTGCTAGTCCCACTCTGCTAAACTCATCACAGCCTAAAGTCAATTGTTGAATTGCTGTTTTGGGAGCTTGTGACGTCAAAGCTGCTATACAAAGACATATTACGAACTTCTGTGTAGATTGGATCGTACCCTATTTAGGTCAAGCGTACATGTCTAGAGAAAGCAGACAGCGTCAGGATCAAAGAGCGCCAGTGAAAATCACTTACCAGCAAGATGTTCGTACGAACAACGCAGTGATGTCTCTGTCGACACCAAACGGAACAAGAAAAGATGTACTCACGACCGTATGGCATATTCCTATTCTTTTGCAAAAAAAATCTTTGAGCCTCTTACAAAAGATATGAATCGGTGGTCTTGATCGAGATGGCTGCCTGCTGCAGCAAACATCTTCGAGGTTAGCTTGGTACGCTCTTATTCCAGTACACGCCTCATTTTTAATATCGCTTTGCTCTACAAAAATCTAAGAAATCTGGCCGATCACATAACTGATCGTAAGCACTATGTATTATTATCACTTTGCATATTTAGCACTAGGACATTTGGGAATGGAACTGAGAGATGCTTGAAGTATGAGCACAAACATGTGGAAGAAGATGATAGTTTTGTGTATCGATCAGTTCGATGTTTCGAACATTTCTTGGCGTTCATTATCGACAGGAATGAAAAATGCACAGTACAACGTCTCAAAAAATTTGGCCGATGCGACAAGGTTTGCATCCAAAGATCAATGACATGCTTTGCGTAAGTTCTTGGACGAAGTGTAAATCCACCTCCGTGGGTTATCAACGCAGACTTGTTGAGTCAAAGCCCAAAGCGACTATCCTCATACATATGTGTCATTGCAGACTGCATAACAGATGCATCTATCCTTTTTAAATTTGAAAGATAATCAGTGCCTAGTCATTTGACAGACTAATTCACCCTCTCTGCGCTCGTCAACGCGAACTCAAAAAGTCAATGCTTCCTTTGTGCAGGATACCCGGGAACGTGAGCTACTAGCCTTCCTCCATGCAGTTTATAGGATATTATTTATTCAAGATAGTGAAACAAATTAATATTATGAATATATACCACCTGCAGCGGGACTGCCGTAGCTCTTTGCTTAGAAGAAGCTAAGCTAAGGTCACCAACATTACGTTCTTTACAAGAGCCAGTATGTGTGCAGCGAATCGCAATCCGCTGCCTCCAAGTGTAATTAAAACCTTAGCCTACGTAAAGAGACTCTGCTCAAAACTGAAACTGAATGTAATAGTTTTGGTTGTGGCAGAGCCGCCAATATCTAGAACCTTAGGTATTTCTGATTGATATAGTAATACTTAAATAGTATGGTACAACCTTAATTAATATGCGTTAATACTGGCAATCCTGCTGCGTAGTGGCTTCTTGTTACGGTGCAGCCACACCATTGTGTGATTCCACCAACTTGTGAGATCCACACCTATGTACGGTCACATCATCTTGTGTGACCCGCCCTTTAATAGAAGGGTACGTGTAACCCCGTTACACCACTGCTTTCATGGGGGTCTCCATACTGGTGTGGCTCGTGCGTTGCGCAACTGTCGAAACAGCAGAATGCACGCAAAGCCATCGACAATGCCAATTATGAATACGAAATCCGTGCTTGCAACGGGATTACTGGCGAACGCCTTGACCACTTTTAAGCAAATATTGGAAACTTTGACAGAGTGGAACGTTGCCTCGTCCGGGATCTGAATTCAAAATACGATGCCACCCTGTGTATGGCGTGGTGGGAATGTGATGAACCATGGATAGGCTGTAAATAAAAAACATTGGGTGCCATGCAGTACTCTTCTACTAGAAATTTGCTGATCCAAGGATAAATTCTATAAGCGCGGGCATGAAGCTGGGATAACGTTTGTGTGGGACACGGGATTGTTAGAAAGCCTCAACGACGATATTGCTAAACGCCTTTGGCAATTTTAGATGGCAGAAACGGCAGTTGGCTGTTGTCGATAGATCAAACTAAAAATGAGCAATAATACATTGTAAATATTGTTGTCAACGCAGAAATAACGAAAACGAAAATGTACCGCGTGTCTGAGTGTGTAGCTCTGAAAAAAGTTGAATACTGCTGTGAAGTGGGATCTTACCGATTGGCTCCAGTGGGATGATAGTAATGGCATTAAAAACACATGATGGCAAATTGATCTGCCCTGAGTTGAAATTAATTGTTTCCCTTATGCGCGTTTCTTGATATCTTGTCGTCTACTTCTCAACTGGTCAATGCTTCTGGACCTAACGTTGTGTGGGGCGGGTTCGAGCCCCTCAGCGGTCAAAATCGTAATCGTACCAGACATGCAGGAAATGTCGGCTGCATGCTAAATATTACCGACAACAGCCAAGAAGGTCTTCGGGATGGCGACTCGTACAGGAAAAATTAAGAATTAAAATCAAGAAAAATATACCCCAGCGGAATGAGCAATGTATTATGTTAGTCAGGGCCGAGAAGGTATAGCCGTGTAATAAGATAATACATAGCAACTTTCAACTGAATTACTTCAGAAGGCATGTGATATATCAGAATAGAGAAAAACAAAAATGTGGTTGTTCATGGCGTAATCATTAATGGCGTAATCATTTTAGGCGTTATTCCTCCAGGCGCAATGATGTCTGTGAAAAAATGCACCGATTTCTAACAGTACACCATTATGCCTCGCTTTTGACAGACACGACTCGGCACTGTTTGTCTCAACTTAGCCCAAAGACTTCGAATTGCACTGCAGTGAATGTCTCTCCCATCAGCTTAGCGTTCATTTTCTTAGTCGAGAGGTACTGTGGCACCACATGGCCCTGATCAACCATGCACTGTCAAATTGAATTTGGCCGCCTGGCTGAGCGGTTTTAGAGAGCAAGACAACTTAATTTCCTTTTTCATACATTCATTTAGGTTGATCTACTCTTTTGTATGTTTCGATCATCAACCCTGCGCATCGGTTCTCTACCTACACGTTTCGCTTGTAAAATTGCTATGCTGTATAACATTAAAAAAACTTCATTTTCATCTCAACGTGTTTTATATATTAGAATCTCCCTCATCTTGTGATGATCTTGATAGCATAGAAGAGTCTATCCCGCATTAAGCATCAATCCGGTCCATAGTTATTACTCAACCTACAAGGTGATGATCCTATCAAGACGAAATAAAGTTCAGCAACAAATAAGAGTACGTTGTGGCAACCAAAAGAAGCAAGGAAAACTTTTGAAAGAAAGAGAAATGAAAAACTGCAGCACCCATTCAATGTAAAATAGCATGTAAAAAAGTTTGCTGTAACAACGAACATTTCAGTTACGACTTTGGATGGAATGTCCTGATAACAAGATGAGAAGATCGAAGTGATGTGATTCTGTGGAATATACAAAGGTTAGTTATTCGTACATACTCTTCTATAAAGAAACATAGTGGACACCCGTATATAAAATGGTGAATTCAAATTTCCTCAATAATTAATTTGTATGAAGAATGGCGGAGGACTAGATTATAACAAGGTGATTATGAACACGTTATCATCTACTACTGATATCTCTTGAACTTGTCCAAGTCAATTTGCTACATATACAAGCTCGTCATCTAGTCTTGGGTAGACTTCATCATGCTGATTTCTCGTTGGACTTGGACTAAATCGAGTCGTTCGTGATATTGCGATCGTCATTTTGTTGTTCACTGCAGGTTTCATCTTAAACGCAATAAAAGTTGATTTTTGGGCAAAATCAAAGCCCTTTAGCTTCTCACAGTAGCTAATTAATTTTGTAAAAATTTGTAATATTAACGGTTTGATCTCGTTAGTCCTACATTTTCAATTGTGTAGAATTTCAGTTTCTTAGCATATGTCTTTCTAATGACTTGAACCGGAGTACGATTTATTATCACTTGAAATAGATCGTAAGTGAATTCTCCGGTGTCTGTTGGCACAACTTTTATATCCCATTATGTTCAGGTTCTTCGATAAAAAAGAAATAACTAATTTACCTACACTACATCGCCTCGTTTCCCAGGTGAACAAAAGCCACGTCACAAGCAGCAGCATGGCGCAATATCGTTTACAGTCTATTAAGCAACGACCAGTGCTCGCAATCAATACGTCATAGAATGAGAAATCATTTGTCGCTGAAAGATGCAGACATGATTGCTTTTCGAAGCGTCTCTGTGTTTCGATCTCGTCGTCTTATTCGTTCCACACTTGCACTCAATCTACTTAAGGCTCTGGAAGGACATGTCGACACGTCGGACACTCCATCTTGACCTGCATCCAGCCGTGCAGACATTCGCGGTGGAAAATGTGGTCACATGGTGCGATCATGTAGTCGCGTGCTTCAATATCTAGCTCCACCATACAGATCACACAGTCGATCGAGTTGTCACTATCCTTTAATGGAATCAACTGCTGCAGATTAATGCGCCGCTCATAATTATACCTCACAGGTAAAAACCGCGCAGGCACGAAAAATCTCGGACCATACTGGTGCTGCAGTGCTAGAATGCCCACTTGCAGCCCCATCCATGTCGACAGGACGTAACAAAAGTGCGGGTTTACCTTACTCTCGTACTAAGTAAATAAAAGATGGTTAGATTTCATTAAAAAGTTGATCATGAATACAAGAAAATCAAAGCGATTAGATCAATCGCCAAGTCAAAAATTCTTACCATAGGAAATGCAGTAAGAAAGTTGTCCGGACAACCGTAAAAATACAGCGGTAAGAATAAGCGCAGTGCGCTGATACCATAAAGGTATCCAGCATCAAATGGATTCCGCACCTCTCTAATGTAACATTTTATATACGCATAGTCAATTGGATTGAATTGCAGGCAGAAAGAGCACTTCAAAAGCTTACTTATGAGCGTTGTGCACAATTTGTGGAACCCAGAATGAATAGCAAATAAATACCAGCACAGTCAGATAGTTCTACAATAGTGATGCAAACAGAGACAGATCGCTCAATAAACAGGTTGATAAATCTGTAAAAAAGAGATTCCATACCGAAGCATTATAAAAGATACCAATCCCAGCACATAACGATAGATAAAATCGCGAGTAGAGTGTCGTTAGCTCCCGGCGCAAAGTCAGCCAGCCTTCGGAAAAACCTTGAGGTCTTCGTGCCTTCCAAATGATCAGCAAATACCGCATCTCAAATACCGAAAAGATGATGAGCTTGACAAATGCGACTGAAGCAAAAGCAGCAAACACATTTTGTGCAACGATACCAACGGTCAAGTGGCCCAAACACAGATATGAGTCCACGATAGCTTGCTGTCCGATTGTGAGCAACGAGACCTTTGCTGCAGTCGCTTGCGTGCTCGATATCTGTAGCTGTCGCAACAAAAAATATATTTCTGCCATAGCAATAAAAGTCATGATCACCGCGTAGCGAGAAGCCTTTGCAAAGAAAATATTCAGATTTTCTTCCTGAAACGTTGTGTCGATCTTTAGATACAAACCGCAGTTAACGCTAGCAAGAGTGCCTTTCAATTTCATGCGATTCATTGACTTTTGCAACATTGTCGCTGCATCCAACTTTTCATCTTCTTCGTCTAAGGGTTCGCTCGTATCATTCACCAGCATCATCTCCACGATACTCACACATTGATCACTAAACGAGTCACTGCTCCGAAACCGCGAAACGTACGAATATTTTGGTGGTGAAATATCTATCGCAGCATATTCATCTCGATTCTTCACGGATGGGACGCCATCCAGCACACCAAAATTCATCATCTCTCCTCTTGACTGATTCGGCAATGTCTCTGAATTCAACTTTCCATCGTCATCCTCTGACATTGCTTGCGTGAATTCCTCGACAGCGGCCGCATTCACACTATCATTTGCTCCTTTACGATACAAAATTTGAACACTTGAGTCTGGACTGTTACCAAAAAGCGTCAATTTGGCCAATTTACGAAGAAAAACACCTTGCACTGGTAGAATTGTGGCCGCCAGCGATGCATGCTCCTCATAAATAACCAATTGTCCCGTAACGTACGCCACCTCCGTCATCAATTCTTTAGAAGCCGGTGCTTTCATTTTTAGAAAGAGCCACGTGTTGCCTTTTTCTGCTGGTTGCGAGTATTGCTGCAATTGTATCTCTCGGTCCACTTTGAGATACGGGATAATATCGTCGTAAACAGGTCGATTAGCATTATATACTTCAGCCTCAACAGAATTCCAAATGCCTGAATAGATACCGGTAACATTAAGTGGCGACTCTTGGTGCCGATATCCCGGCTGCTCCTGAAGGAGTGCCTCCAGCTCATGTACCTTCTGAACCCTGTCTGTATCATTGAATGCGTTCTGTGGCAACGAATAGCGATTGTGACCCGATGTATCAGTCGAGGCACGATTGTGCCGAGCATTGCGGGCTTCTCCAGCGCGATTGTCGAAAAAGAGGACGAGAAAACACAAGAAAATGGCCATACTGAGCAGCTGCATGCGCTGGCGTTGAAACTGTTGTTGTCTCCAGTCAGCCTCCATTGCACTTAAACTAAGTGCCAGTGGATTATTAGAACTTCCAGCGGGACTACCAACCGGTCCGTCTGTCCTGCGTGGAGAGTTGGCATGTACAATCATGACGACGCGGCCGTTCTCGTTGCGGTCTCCCATGACTTGATCAGATGGGAAGTAATACTCAGAACCTGTGTAACGAGTCCATGGTGTGGCGTACATAATGAATGACATTCACTCTGTGGCATTGTCCGCATTCACGGAAAGTAAATCGTGCAAAAGTCGCTCGTCTCCGTGGCAAATTTTTGCGATGTTGGGGTCCGAATCATCTGCAGATTTGTTAACTTCTTCCTCTCTGTCTTCTCCGTCATCTAATATGCTCAGTACTCTTTCTGTATCGTCTTATAACGCAGACTCGATCGAAAATGCGCTCGATACCCAAGTCGACCTCGTGCTTGAAATGACAGCAACCTTTGATGCTGATGGGTTTCAATTGCCATCTAAAGTAACAAGAAAGGAAGTGAAACGGGCTCTTGAATCGAGTGATGGGGACGTTTCACGTGCAATAGACGAGGTGCTGAATCTTATTACTATCAAGGCGTTGAGTCAACAAGACCAGCAGACACATCAAAAGTATCAGCAAAGCCTACACGATCATGCAAAGCTGCAACTTGGCGAGCTTTGTGCTGGATTAGGTCTAAACGAGAACAGCTCTTTTGTTGTAGCCCTCCAGCAGCTTTCAGAAAGAGAGCGTGACGACCTGTTGGATACTAACGGACCTTTTGTTCAGCAGTTGCTACTCAGTCTAGAAGAAGATAATGAAGCAAACGGTGAAGTAGAAGATGTGCATCCACTCCAGTTTCTATTAGAACTGTACCCAGACTATAAGGCCGATGTGGTAGAGGACGTGTTGGACAGTCACAACTATGATGTGGACAAGGCAGCGGAAGCGCTGCACAACTTGCGAGCGCTAAATCATGTACAGAGTTTTGCAGCAGTGACAAGCGCAAATGCACGTTTCTTAGCACAGCAGAGGGATTTATCTGAACATGGACTTAAACTGGATTCACTAGGACAATTTCCCGAGCTTGGAGCCAGCACAACATACCAAAAGACTTTCGAGAGCAAACCACAAAAATGTCAGCAAGTGCCACACCATCGACCACCACCTGAGCCTTCATATCCGCCCATGAAGCTTTCGATGCTGCCAATAAATCGCCAGACGGTGGGAGACAAGACGAACGAGGGGTACAATGTCTGGGATTATCAGCATACAGTACATAATCGCAGGGAGTCTAGGATTACAACGCAGCTAAAGCTAGAGCGGCTCAAGAAGCTGCTTCCAAGAGTTGACAGCAACATCATTCAGACCGTACGTATTGATTTTGTTGTATATCAAACGTTTGTTGGAATAAGCTGCTCTCTTTTACGTGGACAGACATTTTACCTCAACGGTGGTAGCTTGAATGCTACAGAGGCAGCTTTGCGTGAGGTATATGATTTGCCGCTGGTCGAAAAACAGCTACAACCTCTCAATGCAGTAGAACACGCCAATGTAGCAGCTGATGCAGAAAAAGATCTTGCTGCTGTTAAGAACCATCGCAAGTTTCGGCAAAATGAGTGTACTGAAGAATGGACCCTTGTATCTAGCAAGAACAAAGTCATCGCTGCAAGAGATGCTCTTAGTAATCGCTATTGCGATGTGCTTGCATCCTTCAGACGTGGCCAGAACATTCTTGCGGTGGATCGTATTCGAGAGTTAGTGAATGCCACAAATATTGATACTGAAGTCAAGGTCGTACTGATTCATTTTTATTCGTGGATCAAAGGTTAAGCAATGCCCGTCGCGAACACCGAGATGCTCAACGCCAGTGGGCCCACGACTTCTTTTTAGCGCATGAAGAACAGATTAAGTAAGTTTATCAGGCTATTCTCCATGGTTGAGTTTTGATTCTACTTTCTTCGACTGTTTGTGCGCTAGACACCAGCAGCCAATTGACCTGCATGGCATGCATGTCATGGAGGCTTTATGGGTAGCACGTGAAGCGATCGAGTATTGTCAAGAGCATCGCATTCGTCGGTGTCTATTGATCTGTGGTGTAGGTCACCATTCAAGAAATGGCAAACCGCGTATTTTGACCGCGCTCCAGCTGTCACTACAGCGACGCCACATCGCATTTCGCGAGCTCAGTGGCGTGATAACAGCGTTTCCGTTGCGGTCCACGGATCAGGCTTGATCCCTGGATTTTGCCTTGTCAAGTCTTTAGCTTATTATTGTGTAGGGCCCCGATTTAGATATTAGATAATAATTTGATAGATTCGCCTAAATTTGACTTTTGTACAACTGCTGTCTGGCGACTCTTCATTACACTCAGACATTTACATATCATGAGCGTGCAAAATTTGAAAGAATTCTTCTGAGATGAAGCAGCTTCCACATGCGTCATCGCATCCTTCTCAGCTTTTGATGACAGGTACCCGTTGGACTTTAGGCAAGAAATGCAGCGCCGCCAATTCCACTATAAATAGTTGGGCTACCCCGAAAACGGGGAATCCGTCTCCAGCGAAATGGGATAGCGTGGCACAGCAGTTTAAAGGATAGTAAGTGTGGACGTCATTATTGAAACTATAGACGTGCAGCTGAGCGCAGCGTAAAACACAAAATCACATTGTTCCTTGCAAAAGACTGAACGCCAGATAATGACCCACTCACGTACCATGCGGCTGATATCAGCATTCGCATCGGACAGAGGAGAAGAGCGTGACTTTGAGAGTTCGTATCCGAGATGTCAAGTTACAAGCGAGCGCACACCAAGCTGGGCAACCACAACTTATGCAGACACATCCAAAGACCTCTCTCCACTCGAATCTAGCAACCTGGCACTTGAAGATCAGTTCTGTGGCTGGCTTTGGATGCGAGGCGGACGCTTCGGACGGTGGCGACATCGATACTTTTGTCTGGACGGTACTATGCTGTCGTACTTTACTAGTTTTCCAGCTGAGGTATTCTTAAAGCAGGCTCAAGCCTCAGTAGCTTCAGCTTGGGCATCAAGAAATCACTTTCAATTTGGCGATTCATGTCAACCTCGAGGTGTTATTCGAGTGGCACATATTGATGACACAGATCGGACGAATCGTGTTGGATTTAAGGTATATGGTTCTTGTGGAAAAGTGATTGACATCCGTGCTCACGATAATCAGGAGCGCAATCGTTGGCTTCGTGCTTTGAAGACTCCTGCCCGTCGCAAGTCTAGGTCATGGTCGATTGGGTCAAGTGAGGAGATTACACTAAGCATGTCGTCATTCGACCCCGACGGGCTTTGCCGGTTTGACCGACTATCTATTCCTGTCGCTAAGAGTGGCTGGATGGAAAAGAGGAGCTCATTTATTGGTCTCTGGCGGCGCTACTTCTTTGTTATTCAAGGATCAATGTTATCGTACTACGACAGCGACAAACCGTACGAGGTGCCGCGGTGGAGAGGGTACGTTGTAGGCATCAAGACTCGTCGACGTAGTGGGACGTTGGTTTTACCAACAGCTGGCGCCACAATGGCTCCGCCGACGCAAGAACTAGTCATCTCACTGGACTCACCACATCATCACGTATTGCACGTTCGATTTCGTAGCGTTGAAGAAGCGCGCGACTGGCGTCGAGTGTTGCGAGCCAATGTCAGAAATAATGGATAACAATTTCTGTGATTGACCAGAATTTTATTGCTGGGTTTGTCAAATTTACTTAAGATAAAATTCTACAAAATGATAAATACACTTTTCGTCTGTTTTTCCCGCTAGATTATATTCTTCGAGTTAGTTTAAGTAATGTTATACTAAATATATCTAATTCCCTAACTTGATTAAAGCCATGCGTACTGCAAAGCGTGAGGCAACCAGCTGTGTTTCATTCGGACCTATTCTCTGCCTTATCTCTACCATTTTTTTATCATAAATACACCTTGGTCATCTTGAGCTGAGCGCTAAGCACAAGGGATAAAAGTGACAATGTATTCTTTTTAGGCGAAACGTGCACCACACCAATCTTTTTGAGGACATTAGACATCTGTAAACACAGTTTTCCTCTCGCACTATTGCATCTAAAGTACCTGCCATCATGAAAGTATTGTGGTTCAGCTAGCCGCTGAGACAGACGCGGCCTTCGCATTCTCAAAGCACCGACACAAATTTATTCACGAAGATGTTGTGATCTGCGATTTGCCAATAGTAAATTCAAGTTAAAGGAATACAAACGTATGTGCAGCATTCGGAGACTATGTATCTCGTACCCATCAAGCAATTTTTGAATAGGCTTCTCACATTACTAGCCTGTGTCCGTCAGAGCGAACGATGTATCTGGCTTGTAGCAAGGGTCAGCTGTCATGGCTAATAACGCGAAGATTAGGTGTAAGCTGTGTAGGGCTCATAATATCTGATGTTGTGAAGTACGGACGCCAAACCTTGACTTCAAGATTATTGAATGTATACTTTTACTTTCACCTAACGCTTTGTTTTTTCGGCATCAGAATTTTGCTAGCGACTTTGATGAGCTCCTTGACGCCTCTACAACTTCTGGACTTGCATGTTTTGTCAAGCCTAAGTCATTTAAAGTACCAATAATTCTAGCAATGTTCTGTTTAGCCTACGCTTTCCGACGCTTTTGTTCACAGCAAAAGTTCATTTTCGGGGTTTCTGTGTGCAGGCCAAACATAACTTGTAGTTTACACGTACTTTAGACTTGTAGGGTTCAGTGTCATTTGACAAAACAAAAAAAACTCGTTCATGAGAGTTGCGTCATTCTTCTACTTGTTATCAGAAGCCGCTACTGCTCTCGTTTATTGTACCTGGAATTCAGTGATTTTGGTCCCTGGGGTACACAGCAGGTGCTATCTTGTTACATCACCGAAGCAGATATTGAATTCTGACGTCCGTTTCGTGGTCTTTTTGGATCATGCCATCTCGATCCAGCGTACACGGATAACTTGGCTCGACAGTTTGACTGAAAGTATCAAGTTGACGCATATTGGTTATCTATCGTCTACTTGGAGTCGTGGTAGTTAATCCTGTTCATCTTCGTGGTTGGTAACCCCAACAATTCTTGACGTACTTTGTTGAAGAAATATGACTGATTTTTACGCTCAGCTACAAAAAACAGCATACTTTCATCGTATGTCAAAGAACCAGAACCGAAGGTGATTGACTTTTCTCAACGCATACTCGTCATGGATCTTTTAAATGCGTCTTGAATAAAGATGGATTTAATAACAATTTGTTTTAGATCTAGTCCTAAATATTGCTAGGGTGAATCGTGGATAATAGCCGAGTTAGTACATACGCAAGCTATATACGAAGCTAAGTGATTAGTCAAAGAATATAAATCTCGGCAAAGTCATAATTGTTACAATGGAAGACAATTAGAGTTGCCACCCTGGAAGTCATGGAAGTCGCAATTGAGTGATGTGCGATTAAACGCAGATTAAAAAAATTAACATGCTCACAAAATTAGCTGCTACTGTACAGAGAAAGCCGGCTTCATGACGTCAGTTGTATTGGCGTAAGCACTCAAGAGTTTTGATGTAATAAAGTCATCATGGCTAAGGTGTGTAATGCAGATTTGGTCTTTCCTAGCTGGTCTTCCTTTCTCGTCGGTGTGGAAAATCGAGAGTAGCCAAATTCCATAAATGGAAAAACTAAAATCATTTACTCAAAATGCTAACTCGAGGCTTAGCCACAGGCTCAGAATCTTGAAAGCTCGTTATGCGTAGACCTCGTCCGGCAAAAAACTGAGGCGAAAGATATCGAATATTGTCATTTTCAAGCACAAGCTCGAGCTATTGTACAATCTTTTCGCATAGTACTCTGGGTCAACCTAAGCAAAATAATTCTCAGTCTCTAATTTGGAGGTATAAGTGTAAATCTTTTGAAAATTATAGTGCAATATTACTTACTTCCTTATTTATGATATGGTAATCACGGTGAACATCAAGTGCTTGCATAACCACTTTTAAATCAGTAAAGAAGCTGTACATCGTTATGAAAATTGCTGAATTGCTGAATGAGCCTACGTCCACAACTCAGCATCATAGAGTGAAGCGAATGGACATGTTATCGCTTGATCTATTGACACGAAAGTAGGCCTTATTTGTAATGTGTTTGTATCAACTATCAACTTATCTAACTTCATTTGTGATTCTACAGACGTAAGTATCGTTCAGATCTCTCTATGAATAAGACTGGGGATTTTGGCACTTTATCTCAATTAATTGCGCGAAAAGTAGAGGAAACGAGATCAAACAATCCCGTTGTGAAGGAATGCTGCAGAAATACTTTACTTTATCATAACTTGCCACCTGTCAAGTTGGAAAAAAGAATAAAGCAGAGAATGCTAGTCAGGCGGTCGTACCATCGCAAAATTGTGCGTGCTTGCTTAGTATTAATATTTGACGATCATGTAAAAACTCATCAATCATCCAGGATACGTTGATGAAGTTACAGAATGAAATGAAGTCACTAGAGTCAAAATGCCGAGACGTCATTGTCTTGCGACAACGGATCTCGCAATCATTTGAGCCTTTTGAGAGCGAAAAACAGCGGTGCGAACAGCTACGTAAACAATACTCGCAATTATCGATTACTCAAGAAAAGTTGCGTCACGAGAACAAACAATTGCGACTTAAATCTATGGAACTGTCGAAAGCACGCACACGAATTCGCATCCTTCTAAATGAAGAGTTACAGGAAGAAAAAGAAGCACGTGTCAAAGGAAAATTGCTTGGCTTATCAATGTCGTGTCATACTCAACCTTATGTTAGGACATCACTCAGTATTCCCGTACCTGCCATGAAAAAAGTGAAACGTAAATTCAAGCTCAAGTTTACGCCCATCACCGTTGACGAATGCCTAACTATCGTGCGTGAAGCATACACGGATGTAAGGGCATTTACAGACAAGCAGCGGTATGAGACCACAGGTACTACGGTCTTTGGGTGGCGGGACAGACACGAAGTTAATGGTGAAAAGTTGCGATTTTTTCTTGAAAAAACATTTCGACACGTCACCGCCTCAGAAATTTGCAAACGCATGTGGGATTTAGTGTCATCGGAGCAAGACTTGAATCGTATCTACGCCTCGGATGTAGCGATTCGTTTTCATCTTGTTCAACGTGTGAACGATGAGAACGTACTATATTATCGCACGATTGAACCAATTGGTGGAAATGTAGTGCTAAAACGCTCGTATTAGTTTCACGTGTCCAGACTGACGATGTTGGCAATTTTATGCTGCTCTTACGTTCGGTGGACCCAATGGCACGCGGTATTTTTGAACCGACAACGGCAAAGTTATGTGATTTTTCAGTTGTGAAAAAGGAAATCTGGAGCGATGTCTTTAGTTGGGGTTTGTACGAAAGAGTGGGTGAATTGGGTCAACACTGCCGCAATTATCTTGGTGGCTTTATGTCTAATCTTGTTACGCGACGTAATATCGAGTTCTGGCTCGTACACATTCTATTGATTGCCGTGCGCTTTGAGAATGAAGTGGTCGGTCCTCACTTCCTTTCCGATGGAGTTACGAATCAAAGTTAAAAGACAATCAACTGGATTAATCAGACGCCTCGACGGTCCTCTACTTTTTTATATATAGAAAAATATGCGCTTATTTTCTCTTCGACGCACCATCTAAACGCTTTGATGAGTTCCTGGATGAAGTCTTTCTTGCTGTCTTCGGTCGGCTACCACTGCTAGATGCGACTTGTTTGGTACGAAATGCTGCCGGCGCGTAGCCGTCACCTTCGCTGTCCGATACGTACATGAAGAAAGGGTTGCGATTAAGTTCCAGATCTTCAGCTCGGCCAAGTTCATCGTCGCTGTCTTTGTTTAGTGTCACCATACTTTTCCTCCCATTCCGACTCTTATCTGACGATGTCTCGGGTCGACGTACACTGCTTGCAGAAGGCGGTCGTTGTCGAGAACGTAACGTATTGCCAGCCAGTTCTAAGTGATCAAGTGTAAAATCGTCCTCTTCTTCATTCCAGCGAGCCCGCGCTTCAAGCATTGCCACTGCTTCGGGGGGCATAAAATAGTTCAATACTATATTTTTCAACTTTAATTGGGCTGTCAATTGTCGAATGGTGTCGAAAAGGTCTTCCTTTTCGCGATTATGAGCCTTTTCCATTGCTTTGATATCCCCTAACACCTCTTTGACTTTAGTGTACACCTTTTTTAGTTTTCGCGCTTTGGCTTCGGCTTCTTCTTGTAACGATTGATACTTTTCTTCGCGCATTAAATTACTTTCTTCTTGTTCAGCCAATTCACGGGCAAGTTGCAACTCTTGACGCTTTCGTTCTTCTAATTCCACTTTTGTTCGTCGAAGTTCGTCTTCTTGCTGTGCAGCCTTTGTCATCATTTCCCCACCAACCAAAACTTTGGCTTGCGTCGCAGCAAGTCGTTCAAGAAGTACTTTTTGTTGCGCTGCCAATTCTTCAGCTTGCTGACGTTCCCGTTCTAATCGTAACTCTAGCTCGCGCTTATTCATTTCAGCTTGTGCTTTGTCTTTTGTCGCTACTGCCAAGTCGTCACGATTTTTTTGAAGCATCTCTTCCTTCTCTCGTTGAGCTTTTTCTGCAATTGCTTGGGCTTCTGCAATACTAATTCCCTTTTCAATAACAATTTTCTCGACAATCTTTTCCACTTCAACAACTTCTGCTGGTGCCGCAGAGATGGTTGAGTGTAACCCTTCATTTGTTTGCTTTTCGATCACCAGCAACTTGGCTTTTAACGCTTCAATTTCTTCTTGAAATTCTCGAATCATGGCATCTTTAGGATCTTCGTTAATTTTCGGCTTGTTTTTAATGTTTTTGGCACGACTTGCGTATCGAAGTGTTGTCAACGTTTCCTCGTAATTGTAGTCAGCTGGTCCACAATTAGCGATCATCACAGTTTTCGTATTTCCACCCAATGAATCTTGTAGCAATCGCGTCAACTTTGAGTCACGATATGGAATGTGTTTTGATTTACCATCTACTAAAGCTGAAATGACATTTCCAAGTGCAGAAAGTGAGAGATTGATCTTGTTAGCTTCTTGTAGACGATCTCCCGTTGCGCCAGTCTTGGATTGACGTTCACTGCCTGCCAAATCGACTAAGTTGAGTTTGCCTACGCACACATGTTTTTTACCGTCCCGAACCGATGAAACCTCACTCAAACACTCAACGACGATCGTAAAGATCGAGTGTGATCGAGACGACGTCTGATTCATCAGTGTAGCACCAACACTTCGGTTTTTCTTGCCCGTTTGCATCACATGGTCGATCTCGGCTGCATCTTTGACCACTTGAGTGGTCAGACCCTTGACAAAGACTCCAGAGTCGGCATTTTCCTTGAGATCTAAAGCATTCTTCGGGTCTTTTGATAACAAATCGCGAATCTCTTCATTGTAGATCTCTAGATATGACGCACGTACTAAAATCCGCTTGTTTTTCGAGATTGCTACCTAAAAGATAAAACGAAAAAATTATATAACAAGACCAAATCAGTTTTATCTCACAAGCTTTTTACCTTGTCAAAAATGTGTTTAAACGAGTTGGGAATGATTCCAGGTTGGTCTCCAACTCCTTCCATTGTATGCGATTTCCCTGCACCTGTTTGGCCGTACGCAAAGATAGTACCGTTGTATCCTTCCATGACTGCCTCAACGATCTCTGTAGCTGCTGTGTCGTATACTTGCTGCTGCGTCGATTTCGCACCAAATGCAGCATCAAAAGTAAAAGACTTTGGCGGCTCAGAAGTTGCTGCCACGGGATTAAAAATTGATACTTCTGCTCGATCAAAATTGGCGGTGGTGGCTTCTCGGCGTCCATCTTGAACTTCTTTACCACTCATGGGTCGGATACGAACCATTACGCGAACGCACTCATCGTTTCGAGACGACTTTGTTGCCATAGCTAGGAATCTAAAACTTGGACCTTTCAAGATTGAAATCGGTTTTGTTGAAAAGGTAGAAGTTATAAAAGGCAAGAAGTCATCATCCGTTTGTTTTGAAACGGAATGCGAATAGATACCAATTTTCTAGAGTATATGGAAATACAAATAGCTTAAGACAGTAATATGGATCAGGCTTTTGAAAAGAATAAAATTTATGTCAGCGGATGAAATCTTAACTTTTCTATACTATGTCAAAGCGAAATATCACGTCGATTTAAAACTCATGCTTGGCGGTCAAATAGTTAGATTATGCTGAGGATCATTACATAAACGTTTAATTAAGCTTAGCATTAGGAAATTACGATTACGCAGTCACATTCTAAGAAGATCGTACCGTGTAATTCTGCTACAATCTTGTTCAAGGTGCTTAGCTTCGTTTGTTCCGACTCTTTGTATCTTGTCTGACGAGCGACGCGTGAAGTAGTAAATAAATATCGTACAACACAGAATTATAGTGGTCACCAACTAATGCAAGACGAATTTGCAAGCGAACGCATGGACAGAATAGCTAACGCATTTTGCTTCATACGGCACCATCAAAGCCGCGTGGTATTGTCCAAAAATAGGCTTTACTTAATAGCCTCTGACAGTGTTAGCCTCTGACATTGTACATTCTCTCGTCTTGCCGATTTCATTAAATACAATGTCTGCTGTCTAATATATATTCAAACGTTGTCCAACCAGATGCTCCATCTCCGATCTCGAAGCAATTTTCAGAGTTGTGATACTCCCCATGCAGTGTAATCAGTTTCACACGCCTTGTACAAAAATGAAATTAATAATGTATCAAAAAAATCTCGGGACTCACATGTAAGTTGACGGCTGATTTATGTTTGAAACGCTGAAGAATTATGTCGTTGGTCGGGTCCTGACGGACTTGACTTGTAATCCACCGAGCTGCACTAAAGTGATACTACGGCTTTGCACCTTTAGCCCACAGAACTACAACTAAGTTGACCTCTTTTAATGGATTAGCGAGACAAGCACAACGGCATTAAACCGCAGACCTAGTCTCAGAGTTTGTTGTGTGATGTTCAGGACAAGTTCGGCAAGCACGGACACTTATAGGCTGCTACCAGGATCAACGAACGCTGCGAGTGCGACGACAGGGAAAGGAGCTAGACTTGAGTAGTTGTGGGGGGATTGAGAAGTAAATTTACTCTTTGTATAAGGTCCTTAGTTTGCTAGCGCTACCTCTATGCCTTCTAGTCACAACAGACTTTTTCAACTAGCCAATCTTATATCGTATATTGAACACGTGTACATACTGCCCGCAATCATGTGTATTTTGTGGCCTTCAATCTACGAAAACATTTGGTGGCAATCAATCTACGAAACAATGAGAATAAACAACCGTCTCCACACTAATTGCGAGATTGATGCACCATCACTCATTTCAACAATTTTCGATAGTTCGTGCTAAAAGATTAAGTAAATGTGGAAGTGTGTAACGGGGTGGCTGTTCACACTATCGTACGTCAAGTTTTGTGCGATACTCAAAGGAAGTGGGCCTGAATCCACCGCCTAGAATGTTCGCAAGAAAAAACATTTATGTGGTGATACATATGAAAGAAAACATATCTTTGGATACAGGGGCTGTTGGACATGATCTAATGCGTTAACTAAGTCACAAAGTTTCGGTGTGGATTTTGAGATTGTACGAATTGATGACAATAATGTTACTGAATCACTAAAGCAGAGCTGAAAATCATAAGCGTCAGCGAGTAGCGGTCTCAAAATGATATGATGAACAGCGATTGTATAAAGCAGTCATCAAAGCATATCTCTACCAAGGTAAGTATCAGTGACTGGTCAACGCAGTGCATGCTACGGTATTTCGTGAGTCTGCTGTTGTGCAAGGTGTCACGGTATCACGGTATCACGTCGCACTTGGTTCCCTCATAGCAATCTCAATGGCAAAATTTTCCTTTTATGTGTATGGAGCATGCAATGTCCACCATCTCATCCAGGGACAACGAGATACGATGAAACTCAGCTGTTGTCAATTGGAACCAATCGAATACTGCACTGGGTGTTTTAAGGTCGAAACACGTGCACAGCTCACTTGTTTACTTTTACGGGATCTGAAGATACACTGTCTGATGTAGACGTGAAGAAGAACTGCTGACGTTTGAAGAGCCCTATCGAGCAAGACAACTTTTTTTGTGGTAAGACTAGAAAGTGAAGAAAATCTCCTTCACCGATCGCGAGAGATCAAGATGGTCTTGTACTTGTCTTTGATCCGAGCTGAACAACAGCTCGGAGTGCTAGCAAATTCTTGATAAGATTGCAAACTGCGGTATGATTATTGTGTACCCGTCAAAAAAGGTAAAAAGAAATCATTGAGGTATGTTTCAATTGACAGCGCTTGAAGCCAGAATATCGGCTGAGTTATTTATGGAATCGGTAAGAATTGCTGTATTTTTGATGAGTTTCTATATAACACAGAGACCTTCCGCGCCATTCGAAATTGTTCGTGAAAGTTGGGTCCGTCGCCTTAACTTCTGATCCGCAAAGCCCGGTACGAGAGGTTGGGCCTCGAGAGGTGACCAAACTGAGAGTGTTGCTACCCGCAGATGGTACACCTGCGAGTTTACCGCTGCTTGTCCTCTTGCTCTCTGTCGAGTAAAAAGAGTCTCATGTCGATGGACGGGATATTCATGATGAATTGTCGATTGAAAGCGGAATCGAATTATTTCGCCTCGACATATACTAATTTATATCAACCTCGTGGCCTCTTGGAGGTCCATAAAGTAAACATGTTGTTCAAGAAAGGCAATACTTTTTGTTAGTCGCTGACGTCATGACACATAGAAATCCGAAAATGCTAAGTCCATATATTTCAAAGTGAACGTACAACTATTTAGATAGTAATGGATGTAGAAAGAAGTTGAATTTAACAAGTACAAACAAATATTCGGGCAGTGGGGCATGTACAAAGAGTGTTTTTACCTTTAGATTGGGTTTCACGACTTTGACCCTATGCAACGCTGTCTGGTCTTAGACTGGTTTGGTACATAATATTCATACCCGGTATGACCTTACTTGAATTTTTCGAGCCACATATGCCAAGCAGTTTCTCCAAGTGGAGTTTTGGCAGCACCTCGACTTTATTGCAGATGCGCTTCAATGCAGACACGAAGCTGTGAGAGCTAAGATCCATAACATGGGATTGTTTGGGACATTAAGCAAACAATACTATTAGCTTGTTGAACAAAGGTTGAAAGCTTATGATAACTGTTTGCCGCGGCCACCCAAAATACCCTGTTCGTATAATCAGCGAATGTATTGGGCCTCTATACAAGTCAGTAGGGAAGGCGAGGAATAAACTTTGTCGGGACAACTAGGCCAGCTATTTGCTGAATTAATTCAGCTCAGTCAGAAAAAGGCGACCGCTTGTCACGGTCGCTACGGTCTGTTCTTTTGGAGCGAATTAAAGCGCCTTTCAGTCGCAGTCTCGAGTAAAACTGCTGCGCGGTGATGTGATTACGAACGTATTAGATAGATCCAAGCCCGATGTTGCTTCAATGGCTGAACTTTGATACGGTATCCCAGACTACAAGCGATTCGCCACGAGCGTTGCGTCAACATCGGCACACTAGTGATGAAATTATCTTGGTTTATAGATCCTCATTAAGCGTGAAGTCCCAAAGACCTAGAAATGTGACGCCATCAATACTTCTTCTGTGCGAAGCAGAGTGAGCCTGATAGGGAAATTCAAATTTCATCTCCGCTCCAATTTTGTGCATTATGGGGACTTTAACCAATTTGACAAATCGTGCATAATTTTAATAAGCTAAATGCAGCCATCGTTCTCGTATAAGCACCAATCCTGAGAATAGATGTTATTGTGTCATACACTATTACTACATTTGCTAGATAACATCGAATACTCCTGCTACTCAGAGCTATCGCTCTCGTTGCGGTGAGTATTTCCTAAGGGGTGCTCTGGGACTGGCTGGTCATATCTGGAAAAAGCTTAATAGCACTTAATATGAGTGTTTTGATTAAAAGATCTAATTAGACAAATAGTCACAGTAGAGGCTTTAAGTCTCGCTCCTAATTGGAGGGTTCGGACCAAATATCTGTGCGGCGGATTTTTAGAATCGAATCTTTCAAAGTGAGAGAATCCTCGTTGCACTTCGTAGCATTTGCAATCGTTGCCACGACTGAAATAGCTTAATTCTTTGCAAGGTCGGACGGAACAAGGAATGCCATGAGACTATTGAACCATCATACGAAGCTTATATCTATCGTTTGTCTCGACTGGATAAAAAATTGGCTGCAAAAAAGCCGGAAGTGGTGATTTCGGATCTGAAATCGCTTACCAGTTTTGATCATGCGCTGTTTAAACATACACATAAGTATCACAATCGAGCACCTCTCCGCCCGTTTTCCAAGCTCGAAGCCGCACGCGAGTTTGGGCATTAATATGCAGTACCTCGGTTTAACAAATATTCTGTACATGAAAAAGATTTGACGTGACAAACGTCGCGGCCGCTTGCACCGCCTACCTAAGCTAGTTCGTTTCGCCTATAGCTCTTACATACTCATCAGGGAAGGCACAGACTGTTGGGCTACTTTGCGCTTATTGCCTTTTTGTTTTCATACCCTTTCCGTGGGGCGGTAGCGGATACTATCTTCACAGAGGGTCATCATAAGTTTGCCGCTCGCATCGAGACTTCTCGCATTTATCCTAGTTTTTTTAGATAAACTTAGCAAATATATTGAAAAGAAGTCTGAACCTTCGTGCCGCGGAATGGTATGGCATACAACAAATGGAACCTCTTTGAGCACCAAAATTGATGGTATTTAATAGAGATTTCATCTTTTAAGCAGCTCCGGGGTACTTCATTCCACAACATTTGCGCCTTTATGCTCCTTTGCGTACGGATGAAAGGGACGCTGGGCTGGGGCTCCCCGAACAACTTCTCATAAAATTACATCATTCTAGTCGGCGCATGTTGGGCTCCGGGAATATCTGGCCTTTATTCATCCTCGTAGAAATTGTGGTCAATAATACACACAGCTTTTGAAGAAGCGACTCTTATCAAACGAAGTGGTGCTCACAACCTAGAATTTGTGGTTGTTAATGTTAAACTCTGGGATGTGTACACACGGAAAAGTTTCAGATTACGCCAGGTGTATCGCGAAATAATGTAGAACACGCGACTGCCCAAGATTGTAGACATTACGCAAAGAGCAGAAACCTATCTGTAGGATTCAATATCCGTGTGTTGTGCATCGGGAACACGGTAAGAGTGTCGAACGTTTGCTTGAAGCATCAAGTGAAGTATGGAAAGCTCGACATTGCTGGATGTTCTTTAGTGCTGAGCATGATTTAGAGATACGATCTCATTTTAAATCCAGCGTGATTGAGATGTAATGGACCATAGGACCAAACTTCGTTTCAGCTAAAATACTACATACCTTGCACTTTTACGCTGACGGGGCATTTATGATCCATTAACTCACATCCACCGGGAGGCAGATGTCCTTTAGGCGGGAGCGAAAAGCCGAAATAGGATTTTTGCAGTACATGGGCTTGAAACTAAAAGCAATGCTATCATTATTTGTCTTGGGCAGGGCTCTGAAGGTAGAAGCAGCGACTAGCCAAAATATCAAGATTAGTCAGGATAGAATGACTTTATGTCGTGGTCTTCTCAGTAAATTTTTGGTAAGATATATATGAACGGCTGTAATCTGGCATAGGGCAGATGAAGGTTGGAAGTGACTATGTGCCGTGTCGTAACCGATGAATTTGTAGGTCGCTATCATGTCTCGAAATGAAATTCACGCCTTGGAGTTTATTAATAATCCATTTTGCCAGGATGTGGCCGTAGTGCTATGTCAGCTCTATACCGTAACGCGCTTTATGTGACCAAAAGATTATGTGTTTGTAAGCGGAGAAGCCAAGGTATTTGTATTGGCTTACCTTACGATCACTGGACTTAGCTAATTTAAAGCAAAATGTTGTACACCTTAAGTATATATGCAAGGGAAAGTTTACTCACCAAAAAAGGGCGTTTTGTACCAAAGACGGAGCTGAACCACTTATCCGTCATGGTTGCTTTTTACAGTGAAAACATTCACATAAATCTGAGTGTGAGTAGTGATGGGCTATCCTAAAAGATCTATCAAATCCATTTGACCATTGCTTAAATACCAAGAAGTGTTGATTCGAGACTCGCCATGCGTGTTAACCTCGAATAGATATTTGCGTGATGAATTTGACGCGATTATCGTATCCAAGTATTGCATCACACGACAATCGTCAGTAAATATGAGACCAGTGTTGCAGCTGGGCTGCCGTAGCTCTTTGCTTAAAAGAAGCTAAGCTATGGTCACCGACCTTACGTTCTATACAAGAATCAGTACGAATGTAGCGGATCGCAATCTGCTACCTCCACGAGTACTGAATACCTTAACCTAGGTAAAGACGCTCTTCCGTTTAGAATTGAAACTGCCTATACGCATCACTAGGACCTCATTTTCAATGCATCAGACCTCGTTGACCTGCCACTCTTGGCATGCAGCAACTGCTTCGTAATATGAGCAGTGCTCAGTGGGTTTCGTGCCATACCATGTGCATCACTTGGGCCTCGCGCTCGACCATGCCACTTCTGTCGTGCAGCAACTGCTTTAATACTTGAGCAGTACTCAGCCATACTCGGGATTCTTGTCCAATGCACCTTCGGTGTTCGACAATTCAGATCATCCGATATCCAGCGCATTATCCGTCCGGGTCCAGTGCCCGCACCAATTGCACTTTTGCTTTCTAAAAAAGGCGGGCTCGACTCACCAAAGCTCCAATAGGAGACGTGCGCGTAGCGCCCAAGGTCTTCGACCTCCAATCGATCCATGGCTCATGGTGTTCCAACAATGCCATACCAAGGTAATACCTTGTAAGATTATCCAGCGTTCCGCGCTATCGATGTCAAGAAACTCGACACCGAGGTCACAAGGACCCTCAGCACTGTAACACAATCCCCCGTCTCTAAGCGACCAGCGACGGTGTTACTCAACCGCGCTTTCAGCGCCTTAGCATACAGCTGACTTCCTTCGATCGTGGGGCGTTGAGCATAATCGCTCGACACCCCGGAGTCGATAAGAATCTTCCATGGCTTCTCGAAGCCCTTCACGGTCGCTTTCACGACCAGCAAGCTCGGCTTGCATACACGTTCCGTGATTAAGAGCACGGAGCTCTTCGGGGCTGGGCCCTGCTGTCCTATCGATCTTCAAGGTTCAACAGAACTCAATTCTTTCCCAGTAGAGCGCCCCGCGCTTATTGGGTGTTGTCGATTTTCCGCGACAAACCAGACTGATTCGAAACGATGCGTCGGTTTGATGAGCCTTTACGGGCCTTGCACAGGGGACAGCCAGTCCGAAGATGACGGACGTCTCCACAGACACGACACCGTCGGGTGTTTCAACGCTGCTCGGCAGCTCGGTGCTCTCTCCCCTTTCTCAGCATAGCTGATATCCAATTTACTCAGTTCCGCTCAACGAGCTTTGGAGGTGTCCATTCCAACAAAGTCGTGCCGACTGAAAGTGACGTTCGGCACTCTATGCCACATCCACCGCTTTTTCAAAAAAAAGACGGATGCAAAAAAAACACGGAAGACTTCCATTCTGGCCACACCAGTGCGGAGGTCCTCCACCTCTTTTGAAAAAAAGAAGACGGATGCACACGGAAGACTTCCATTCTGGCCACACCAGTGCGGAGGTCCTCCAAAAAGACGGTCAATGCAACCGCTTTGGGGAGAAGATGGCTGCCATCCCGGCAATGAAAGCTCTAAACTCTTAGACAAGGTTTATCAACTCCTTCTTGCCTTGTCGGGTGGCAAGGAAGCGCGATCGCACGCGATATGCCTGGTCAGGCGGCGAGAACACTCGCGAAAGCTGACGCTTCTGCTCCTTCCAGGATGGGAACGTAGATTCAACCGAAGCACCACACTTTAGTTCTTATTCTCACGCTCGGCCCCCGAGCTTGAAGATAGCTAGCGCCACGCACTGTTGCTCGTTCTAAAGCTTTGCGGATGCCATAGCCATCTCGGCCTCTCTTACTCAGAGCAAGTGATTAGAGCAAGTTGCTTCCCTCAATGAGTCCAGCCCTGCAAGCTTTATATTAGTATATTTAAATGGTTTGATTATCCTCTGGGATCATTTGACTCCGTCTCAAAGTGACTCCGGTCAAATTAGCTTAGGTTATTGTGAGTTGGGGGTATAGATTCATTTTGGATTGCTCATATCAGCCTGATTGCACTTCGTAGCGAAACCAGTTTTTACGTCTATGACTTTGTTTGTCATGCATACCGCTACATACTATAACTGAGAATCAAAAAAAAAACAAGCCGATGGCAGAATTCACATAAGTATGATGTGAAAAAGTGCTTAATTGGATGCGTTTAACTTACTCATGTATAAAATATCTGTATTTTGTAAGACCAAGTTGCGACCGCTCAACTTCGGACCGTGCACGATATCAGCTAAGAATGAATCAAGTTATATTATTGACATATGCCGACACATCCGGTGTTCTACATGATCTTACTGAAACTGTACCTCTCGATCCTACAATATGAGGCAGTCAGATGTGGAGCGCACTGTTGCAAAAAGAGCAGCAATTACGCTATACATTGTAGCTGAGCTATCCTCTACTCTAAAGCAGCGACGCTCACGTCAGTAATCAAAGGCAATATGATCATGAAGAAAAGCAAATCGAATATTTTTCGTGTTCGTCTTAATTGCATTAATTTAAAAATTATGTACTCTTCAAATAGCAGGACTTGCAGGATCAAGCTCCACGCATGTCGCATGGCTCGGCAGATGCAATCCCTGTGCGTTTGTTAAAGGGTAATCCCAGAGCCAAATGTTTCTCTGCCAAAGTTTTTGCAATTCTTCGTACATGAAGACGATATATTCGTCCATAGTCGTGCAGCGCAGTAGGTCGGATCCGGACATCAACATTAAGCACCTGGAAGGTGTGCTGAGTGAATAAACTTCAGCAAGAGATCTGCCAATGCAAACCAATGTATCTCTAATGTAAAAAATAGAGCAGTGTGAATAGGGCAATGTTCACGGTGTATCATTCCAAATTCAAATTTCATTTATCGTGCTTCTACTCTTTGCAATAGTCAATTTTTGTGTCTGATAGATTGGTTCTGATAAGAGTAGTTAAATATATTCACTGTATTCTGACTTTATTCATGTTTATTGTTGTAAAACATATACAGTCTATCTGTACGCATGATAGCTTGAGTCAAAAGACGCTCTGTATCATGAACATAGTACAAACTTTTTATTGCCCTTTTTCAACTTATATGACACTTTGCTGTTATTTTTCCTCGCTTGTAACGATGTTATGCGTGATAGGTGACGACAGATCAGTAGTTTTAAGATTGTTTTTGGAATTTTTAACACTACCATTGTAACGTTGTTACACGTTCCCTGATATGAATAGGTGGGTCACACAAGATGGTGTGACCACACGATGGTGTGGTTACACCGTAACACTACGTGCAAGTAGTTATGCATTTAATGAGGTTTTACTATTTAATCAGGAAAACCTATAAATTTAGATATAGGCGATTTTGCCGCGAATAAAAGAAAGAAATACAATTTACACTTTGAACGGAAGAGTGTATTTGCCTTGGGTTGAGGTTGTGGGTACTCTTGGAGGAAGCGGATTGCGATCCGCTACACTCATACTAGTTCTAGTATAGAACGTAAGGTCGGTGATCATAGCTTAGCTTACTTTAAGCAAAGAGCCACAGCTCGATGCAGCCATCAACAACTATTCAGGACGCTGTTGCAAATTTTCAAAGTTGCTGAAAGTTATCCGATACCGCCCAATCGCGAGCAAGACTACATCGCGGATCACATAACTATATATACATCCTATTAGAAGAGTTTACTTAGCTTAAGTTTTATATAATAAACTACAGCAAATGTGGAATGCTGCGTCATATGGAGGATTAAACAAACACTATAATTGGTGTAAAAGTTTTTTGGCAGAATTTGTAAGAATTGCTGTAGTAGTAAGTTGTGGGTATTATTTTCCAATCCTCCACTGATATATATGCTGCAAGCGCCAAAACTTAATAAAAAAAAGAGGGAAAATAAAAAAAATGACCAGATGAAAAGAAAAATTGTAAACAACATACCAGATATTTGAAAAATATACCAAGTGTTACAACAGTCATGTATAGATTTATACACGCATACATGTGTATACAGATTTACTATGCCGCATAAAGAGAAGGTGACAAATAAAAACATCGTTATATATTGTGGAAGAACCCATTCAAAGCTAAAAAATAATTTCGTACTCGTTAACTATTTGCCAGACAACCATAAAGATTTCGCTTCATGACAGGTTTTGCTATAATGACCCACATTTTTGCAAACACCGCATCTACGAACCTGTATCTTTGTTAAAAGAAAATAAGTAAGGCTCAACTAATTTGCTCTGTGGTTTAAAGCTCCACAGCTTATTTCCCCCAACATGACGTCCCCTCACTGTAGTAACCTTGTTGGTGAGTTGTACAAATGGTTCATTTAATTATGAGATGTATACATGTGGAAATATATACGAAGTAGTATACCCCTGTACTCTTTATTTCTGTAATATTTAGTATGTTGTTTATATTTTTCAGTTCATCTAGTGGATTTTTTCATTTTCCAAAAAAAACGTATCTGTCTAACGCACTATGCGCGTCCTTGTTAACAATTATAAAAGAAAACAGAGGCTTGGTATCTTAGAATAGAGCTTGCTCGGTGCTAGAGCATATGGTAAGACGTAATGGCTACTCAAAGCACCAAAACGTAAAGCTGACTTATAACCAGTCGTAAAGGTTTGGCTTCAAATTTGAAACATGTTTGTCTGCTACCTGGAAGATACCCATCATCCTCGAATCCAACAGACGTTCTGAATGATGTAATCAAAGTAAAACAGCAAGAATGCAAGCATTTGTTTACATGAAGAAACGTTTCAGTGGTGACGCCAAACCACACGGCTATTTGTCAAACACTTGTTTTCAGTGTCATTAATGCAGGATTCAGTAATCGCGCATGAGTAGTACGATGATTGCTTTTCGTATTCTAGCACTATGCGAACATCCTTTAGCCTGATGATTAGTAACAAAGAAATTCGAGCTTAAAGCTAAGCATGCATGTCGTGATATTGATCACTATGATCAGTATGCAGCAATTATTGGAATTTGAGCTAACCGTAACAACAGCATTGAGCCCATAAGCATCACATCCAACTCTTGTAAATATAGTAAGGTTATCGCATCGATATTCCATACGACATTCTGTTAGCTTTTCACCGCATTCTTCAGCTAACATGAAGCCTGAAGCAGTGACATCCATCAATTACTTATTGTAAGCCAAGCCAAGAAATTCACATCAATCAGTGTTTCGTGGTCTTTATCGAACTGGCCATACATGTCTGGCGTTTGTACTGGCTCAAAAAGGCTCTATTACGAGCCTGATACCTATTTCCCTGACACCATAAATATGCGTGGAGAGGGTGACGCTATTGACACGATACGGTGGTGGAAAGAACCATGTGAATCGCAGCCTAGGATCTAAGTGGTCAGCCACTTCTTCCACTACTCGAGACACTTCTCATAATTCTTCTTAAAAAGAACACAATTCTGGCTGTTGTGCATGAACAGGTCGATTACACAGAGGTCAAACCAGCCGTAACGCTTGGTTCAAAACGATATATGCAAGAGGCGAGAATGTGGATATCTGTGACGTAACTTTGTAAAAGTATTTTTTGTAGGTGCAATTATGATCAATAAAATACATACAGTACAAGTGTAGAATTTAGGTAAATGTTTTGCTCACTAATTTCCGCTTTAAATTGCAGTGTCTAAATTTTCGACAGGATACTGCTCGAAAGTTTCATGATTTTGACCCTTAAATGCGTAAAATAATACGTTGATTGGAGTGTTAATTTGCGATTAGTCATATGAAAACGATGTCGGCTATAAAGCTTGAGGGCAAAGTAAGGTGGAACCATAAACTTACTGCAAATGTTGTGGTCCTTGATACGTTTATAGACAGCAATCATTGCATCCAGTGATTGAGGACAGTCGCATGTGAATCAAGCCAGATCGTCGTTCGTCTTTTGTTACACAATATACGCGCGATTTAGTGTCAAGCTTAAATGATATAAACAGCGATGAGAAATTGTAAAGCTTCTTTTTAACGCAAAGATACAACGCGTAATGAATGCCAGCAATGCTATGTTTCGCAAGGTCAACAAACTCTTGAGATACGATGTGATTATGACAATGCTAAACACAATATGCGTCTCTCATTATTTAGATTCACTAAGCTTGATGAAGTAATGCACTTGGTTGAGCACTCAGACAATAAAGAAAGAAATGTCGTGATGGAGAAAAGACATGATTGAATTCAGCACGCCTGACGCGATATCTCATTAATTCTTATCCTTCCCGTACACATGTACACATGGTCAACATTGCATTTTCTTGCAATCGAAGCCCACGAGTTTAAAACGTCAAAAGTCTCAGCCAAGTGTGATCGTTGTTGGTCTTGATGTTTTGAACACATGTAAATAGCGTTGGAACCGATAGTTCGAGACACAACGCCAGTGCAGAGATTGCGTTCGAAGCAATCTCGCAGTTACTTCTCCTGTGGTCTATCTCAGCTTAGGGTACGTGTCGACGACAAGTAAGCACGCATCGTATCTAAAATTCGATATTAGTTGGAAGTGCAGGTCGGATTGAATATTTCGTCACACGTCGCATCAATTGCCCTGACGCAGAGAAAAATTGAGATGATTCACTTCTGTAGCACGATTTGTTGTTAAGAATTTTCAAGTCGACACGACGACAAGAATTACTGACGCGATACGCGCATAAAAGGCTTTGCACTTGAATTGTAGTTGACCGATTGATATTGAGTGTATCATAATAGTACATTCCTGAAATTACTATTCGACATATGCTATTCTGATGCATTATATCAGTTTCTTACCATCGGCATTAGCAACAACCCAGTCGAGTGACTTTTATACGTGGCGCCTATACACAGCTGGAAAATATCTACCGTTACTTTACGTACTTGTATATAAGCTCCAAAAATTTCAAAATAGACTCTGTCGCTTCTAGCGTCATCATGTTATATATCAAAGTCCATTATAAAATCTAATAAAATACGTCCAAAAAAACCATCTTTAGGTTACTTCCTCCTTCTGGCGACTATTCCATTCAGTTTAAATTCTCTTCCACTCGAAACTGTATATCGCGGATAGAAATCTGTTGCCAGCTGCCGTTTTTTAAAAAAAAGGCTCTTTTCTAAAGCGTCGCGACGACAAAAGTGGGCGGGTAGAAGAAGCCTCCCCCCTTCTCAATCTCCACTCCCCAAGCCCGCGTTTTCCAAGCGACCTCGAGTCGAGTCACACATTTGAATCGCCCAAAGTTTTGGTGACGAAGATGGCCAAGACATTGCCACTCCCACCCCATTTCTTTCAATGCCCTGATCTAACGGAACGAGAAGTCCAATATTTGATTGGAAAAGCAAAAGAATCAGCGAAATCATTAGTTGATGCTACACGTAATAATGAAGGACCTGTACGATGGGAAGAAGCAGGTATGCATCGTGGTGTACAATTGTATAAAGGTGAAGCTCGATATCCTGAAAGTGTGGTGGGGGAATCCATAACGTACGGCTGTGGTGCCACGACCATTCAATCGACTTTAGATGAAGTTGCGGATTTCTTTGATGTCTCGACTGATGCAAAATTAGCTGATTTTGTTGAGAGTTTTTCCGATATATTAGATGCTCAACTTCTCTATGTATTAGAAGATCCGGCACTTTTAAATGATCCACGATACAATGCACGAACTCAACGAAATGGATGTAGTAAAATGCTCAATGCAAATCAAGTGACTGTCTCGTGGTTTGCTATTGACATTCCATCGAAACTTTTAAAGAATCGGGACTTTCTAACTGTTGAATGTCAAAGTACGTTTCTGGATGTCAGTGGACGTCGTGGATGGGTACGTTCGTATCATTCGATTAAATTACCATGTTGTCCTGAATTAAGTGATTACAGTCTCGTACGTGGTAGTTTTTACCATACGGGATATGTGTTTGTGGAAAGTGAACGTCCTGGATTTCTCGATGTGATTTTTAGTGCTCAAGTGAATTTAAAAGGAAGTTTAAAAGTTCCTGCACCATTATATGCTACCATTCAAAAGAAACGATTGACAAGTATTGCTCAATTGCAAAAACTTATCACACGTCGACGTTTAGGAGCTCAACGATTCCTAGGTGATCTTGAACTTGTACCAAAGAGTCAACGAACTCATTGTAACTTATGTTCCTCGAAATTTGGTTTGATCAATCGTAAATCTCGATGTCGAAAGTGTGGTGAAGTTGTTTGTGCATCGTCTTGTAGTACTGAATGGGAAGTTTCGATCTCGGGTCAAGGTGTACGAAAGGTACGAGTGTGTTCCAAATGTGCTCAGAATACCGATCCTTCTGCTTTTGAAGGATTAACACCAAGTGAACAATATTCCGAGACAAATAGTGGTCAAGATGAAGATGCACCGTATGCAAATGTTCATGCACCAGGATATCAATATGAACGATACAATCGAAGTGAATCTGGTTCTTCTCCAACATCACGTAGTGGACGTCATGGTCAACCAAGTTTGGATAGTGAAGATTCTGATAGTCAACGACGTCGTTTACAAGCATCAGGTCGACGTGGTCATAATGAAAGTTTAAGTCCACGTGGTGATAGTTTTTATGAATCGGAATTAGAATATCCACGAACGATGGAAATGCCAGGGAATGACAGTATGGAGTCTGATCGATACCTTCTCGATGGAAATGAATCGGAAGAATATATGCAATCAAGTGATAAACGACGTGATGATCGAAGATATGATCCACGTAATCCAGATGTGTACGACCACGAAATGTTTGGACGTTCACCGCCACCTTATCGTGATGATGAACAACGTCGTGCATTACAACGACAACAACGTGCTTTGCAACAACATCAGAACAAACAACGACTTTTACAACGTCAACAACATCATCAAGATGAATTGAGACGACGGCGTCAGTATCAAAACGATGATTCAGAGCAATATCGAGATGGTATTGAACCATTTGCAAGCAGTCAATCAAGCGGAACAAGTTCTGGTGCACCATCATTTTTGACGTCGAGTTTATTGGCACAACATACGAAAGATAGTGGAAAACCTGGTCCTGTAACAAGAACCGAACGGGCAGCAACGATTCAAGAGCGAACAAAACGGAGAGGACCAGATCCTCGAGAACCAGAACGACGTTTAGCAGCTCCTGCTATGCCGTCAGACCGACCATTAACGCGTCTGGAACAGATTCAAGTGAAATTGTGGGAGGAACAAGAAGCAAGATTTCGTGATCAAGTTGATATGGGACCATCCTACGATTTTGAACTTGATCTAGAACCGGAAGTTCCTACAAAATCAACTCGTTATCAACGAACAGGAAGTATCGATGGTTTAACACGACGACGTGGTCCAAAATTACCAGCTTTTTTCCGTAGTGCTGAATCTCAAGGACATGGTACACCAACTGGCGAGTCCCCATCAGTGAAACCACCACCATTTCCTAAAGTACAGGGTACGTATTCAGGTCAAACGGTTAGTGTAGCAGATGACGAAGATCGACTTGATTTCGTGGGACCCCGTGACGACTCAATTAGTCGATTATCAAGAACTTTTGGTGCATTATTACGTCCGGAAGATTTACGTCCAACTGAGAAAAGTGTACATTTTAGTGATGATTCGACTGGACAAGATGAAGGTGGTACAAGTGATTATGAAAAATCATTTGACGAGCAAGAAGATGCAGGAACGTGGATGGATGTTTCGGAATCAACAGTTGTGAAACTCTATGAACGAATTTTGAAGCTTACTAACAAACAGCATGAATTAGAGTCGCAACCAGAATCCGATCCGAAAGAAAAAGAAGAAGTTGCTCGGGAGCTGGAAAATTTGTACGATGAACTTCATGCTGCTGAAGAAATGAAGTGAATGTCTACAGGTTTTGTCAAAGTGTCGAAAGGTGGTAGCTTTCAATGTAATTAATGATCTCACGAATATTTTCGAATGATTCATTGTTAAAGTTCTTTTGGTTTTTTTTTCTTTGTTTGATATTTAATGAGAATTTGTTTTATGACATTGTTGTGTACTTAGTTAAGGCAAAATTTCCAAATTGGTTCAATTTCTATAAGAAATTTCGCAGGAAAGTCTACGGTTAGAAACTTTTCTATTAGGTTGAGCAACTTTACAAGAACTAAGTCGTTAACCAATGTCGGTCTTAATCTTATGTAGCAGCGTATTTTGCAAGGCTGCATTTTCTTCAAATGATTCAAAGTTACTATCTTCCACCACGGATGCTACGACTTCAACCAGTGACTGTCAGATTTAGACTGTACGAGCTGTAAGATTCACATACAGTTTCTTCATTGTCAATCTTCAATATTATTGACTGACGATGGTTCTACATTAGAATTCTTTGCAGAAGTGGCAGTTAGTGTCACCCAATAAAACTATAACATATAAAGTTAAAGTGGTGTATTAATTTTGAAAAGCCTTCTCAAAATGAGTATCATTCAATCGCTACTTAGCTGCCTTAGTCTTCAGTCCGTGCGTCGTAAGAAACTGATTAAGATCTTCGTGTATCTCGTCGTGAAATGGAATCGACTTCATACGCTTAAGCCACGCCGCAAGTTTCGGGTGTTTTGAAAAGTCGTAAATCCCCATAAGTTCTACCTGCACAAGTTCACAATAGGCAGAAATGTCGGCAATCGTAACATGGTCAGTCTCAGCCACAAAGTCCTTGACCAAAAACTTCTCCATAAGCTCCGATAGTTTAGTTAATCGCGCTGGTGTTTCCTTGATCAAAATCGCCTCTTCTGGAGTCGCCGAATTCTGCTTTGTGTGAAAAAGCGGCACTAATACTTTCGAAGTAATAAGACGAACGTTCGTGTGATGCCAGTGTAAATACTGATTCACCTTCGCATGAACTTTGACATCCGTTGGATAGAGATCCGTCCAGCCAAACTTCTCAGCTAGATACTGCATAATTGCATGCCCTTCAAAAATACTAAAGTCATCGTCTTGTAAGACTGGGACCAAGCCATTGGGATTAAGAGCCAAGTACTCAGGCGACTTTAACGTGGATGAACCAAGAGCAACAGCCACAAATTCATGATCTTGTTTCTTAAGACGTAAAATCCACTCAGTAGCACGACTGGGTTGACTAATAAGGTTGGCGTAAAGCTTGAGTACCATAGGAATAGAGGGAGATTTGAGCACAAGATCGTAATTTGAAGAATGACAGTTAGTATTGAATCTGGAAGGAAATATCTCGGAATTCTTCGGCCATCTTTTATTGTGACATTGAAAGAATCGCAGTAATTATTAAATTTCAGGTTTTCAATACATTGTTATCTTAAAACAATACTAAAAGTTACAAAAGTTACCTCATCCTAACACGGGAATTTGACTACCACCTGACATTCGCCATTGTGCAACAACCTTAGGTTTTTGCCACATAGTAGCAAATTCGTCCTGAATCTCTTGAATAGTCTTGCTATATGTTTCAGGTACTAAAGAAAAGACCATTAGAAATGAGAGCGTAATTGTATAAATAAATGGCATAAAACTGTAATCACCCAATGTCTTAACAAGATATGGATACGAAATGCCAACGAAAAGACTGCAGCACCAGCTACAAGCGACACAAATGGAGCAGCCAACAGCACGTACATCATCTGGAAACATATCAGCAATGATTCCCCATGCTAATGGTCCAATACTTAAACCAAATGTAGCAACATATAGAGCAATAGAGACAATTGAAAGTGCTGAGAGATTTGTCAATAATGACACAGTGATACCAATCGCACCAAGAAACATACCAACTAATCCCAACAAGATTAAGAAACGATTTCCAACACGTGCTACGAATAAACCACAGACAAGAGTTGGAAGAACATTCACAAAATTGACAATCAAGACACTTAATCGAGTGTCGGAAATTCCTGCTTCGTTGAAAATACTTGATGAAAAGAGAAAAATTGCATAAACTCCTGTAAGTTGTTGTGCACCAGCAACACCTAGAGCTGTAAACATTTGAGGACGTAATGACGTAAATAATCGTAATAAAGTACTTGGTTGTCCTGTATTTGGTGGAGGTGCAATCATCGACAACCCAAGATCTTGTAATCGAACAGCTCCTTCTCTTTTTGCTTCAGCATTTCCTTGTTGTTGATTAATCCATTTTTTAGCTGTATAGACATTGTTTTCCCCATATAAACGTGCTAATTCATTTTCGGCATCTTTAGGTCGATTAACCATTAAAAGCCATGCAGGACTTTCAACAAGAACAAATGGCGCCAATAAAAGAAAGACAGATCCAATAATAATCGGAAATCCAGCAATATAGCGCCAACCAGTACTTGTACTTGCAATGAAGAATGATATAGCAACAAAGAAATGACCAAGAGTTAATGAAAGTTGAAAACATATTCCCATTTTACTACGAAGATGTGGTGGACAGACTTCACCAATAAATCCTGGAATAATTGCAGTAGATCCACCTGCTGCAATCCCAGCCAAGACACGACCAATAGTAAATATCTGAATACTATTCGCAATAGCTTGAACGGTACTTCCTGCAATTAAAAAGACACCATTTATCATTAACGTCGGTTTACGTCCAAATTTATTGGAAACACGTCCAATAACAAGTGATCCAATCATGCCACCAACAATCCACGAACTTACAGCAATTGTCCATTCAATTAAAGTATGTCCAGGGAACATGAGGCATGTTCCAGCTACAATTGGTCGAACATTGCAATCTCTTTCGCTATGAAACATTGAATTGTTTAATTGAGATGTTGACCATCCAAACTGAAGAGCAGGGAGAACTACGACAATAATATTGGCATATAATCTCCATGTTGGTTTCACAACGGCTGCTTCATCATCAAAGACTGCAGGCATCATAACCATCGGAGTTGGGGCTACCCAAGCGTACCCACTGGCACTGCTGATCATAGACGCAGAAAAGTCCATAATCAATGTGGACGACGATTACGACTGTAACGTTTACGTGTCCTTGTCGAGAACCAAAGTGGCAGCTATTATAACCATTAAAGTCGAATTGAGTTGAAAACAGACCTTACAATTGGACGCTTGCAGATGGCAATGCTTGCTTTGCTCGGATGGGACTGATCCGTAGATATTCGTAGAGAATTGCTCGAGAGTATCCTCGACTTGAGTTTTGTATACTAATGTAGAGTATCTTGGAGGACGATTTAGGACACCTGGATTTGGGACTTTTTCGTATTGAGCTGCTGGATTTAATTCTCATCTGTCATAACTAGTTAGAATATGGAAAATTTGAAAAAAACAAACTTGCACTTTAAATGATTATTTTGTGTTTACGGTTGATATATGATTATTAATATATGTATTGATATGCGATTCAAAAGGAAGATAAATATTACTGACGTATTACGAATGAGCATCATCATAACTTCGTGTTTTACACGAAAATATTGTCTATGTCTCCCCATTGACTTGTTTTGGGTGCGTCTAGCTGTCTGAAACATGCTCTGAACGTCGTCTAGTCCTTTTTTTAATACTTTGTTTAATGTAGTACCAGCTACTTGTAATATGTGTGGGATGTGGAAAAACATAATCAAAGAAAATTTCTATTTTCAAAGCCTTACTGATACCGGGCCACGTGTTTTGATAATATAACATAAGGATATATGACAACACAAGGTGTAACAGCGTATGTCTTATTTATCGTGTAAGCTCTCGTGACGCTACTGCAGCTCAAAATAGTACAATGGTAAAACACATATGAAGTGAATTGAGGCACTTTTGTAATAGACATGATATTTGAGTGATGGTATTTTTTGAGCAGGATAAGCAGGTTCTACATTTATAAATAGTATAGATATTATCTACATATGCTTGTGAATTCATGTTTGAGGCGTTATACCTTAACATTTCGTCATGACTGACAAGTAGCTATCTCATTTAGCTTTGACTTCGCATATACCACAACTGATGTCAAAGAAGGAAAGATAAAAAAGGTACTTGGTATCTCGTTCTAGCATCGGTAAATTCATCCTCTTTGCGCTTATTAATGCGGGATAATGATGACTATACACTCCTGAATGCAGTGCGCGGCAACCTGTTGCAATTGGTAGACTCGGCATCTATCTGACGACTGAAGATGGAACACAAAGGCTCACCGACTCCAGATCAAGCAGAAAACGTTGTCTTAATTTGTTTCGAGGGGAGAGCGAATTCTTGGTTGTCCAAGGCCTTGCAGCGGTTATCACCAGCCTGTAGGCATACATTAGTCACAAAAATGTGCTCAGAGAACACCTTCAGAAAATCTTAATTGTACGTCCATGAAGCACAACCTCCCATTGTGAGGTCGTTAATTGTCAGTATCCTGCCCTTTGGGGGTAGGGGGTAAATTTCGATCTCTCTGGAAATGATCCAATATGATGTCCATGGATTTTGCCATCTTTCAGGGGGGCATTATCCCGTCACGCTAGCGATTTCCAAGCTAGAAGACTGCGCGCGAGAAGTGCTACTCATTTGCAACTTTCTGTAGAAGATGCGACACCAACACGGGATGAGCCGACCAGACATATATCGTAAGTGTTCGCAAAGACCAATCAGGCGTTCAGTGTGCGTCTCGAGGTCATGCTCATCCCGCAAGGGAGACGGACAACTGCGGTTATTGTCCAAGAGGTGCTAGCTTTCATCGCCGCGATGGCGTTATACCCTTTTTCAAAGACAATAACAGAAACTATCATATTGGACGGTCTCTGAACAAGTGCGGCTCGCAGCGATACCTGCAGCGCCTATCGCACCTCTTTCGAGGAAGTAATGGTTGTCGCATTGAATGCGAGGAAATATTACATGCCTCGAGAGTCAGGTGCATTATCGGCAGTAAACGCTCTACTTGCCACCTCAACTGCGCTTAAGAGAAAAAGGGAGGTCTAAGCTGCCGAACTGCAACGTGATACTCGCCACTGGTGCTTCTCCGTTAGCACCAAGTATATGCGCCCTGCGTGCACTAAGCTCTTGTCTAAGTGATGTGAAGGGGCTAGCCCCCAGGCAGGATCATCCAGCGATCCCTTCGAAGGCAGACGTCGAGCCCCAGTAGGTGCCGGGCAGCCTTTGACAGCAAGAACCTTTGTCAGGTCCTGTCCTGGAGTTCATACCAAGTATGTTGTAAGTGGAATGCCGTAAGTCATGAAGTTACTAAATATTTTCCCATTGTTGAGGAATCACATGAGTAAGATTTTGACATCTTGACTAAACACTTTCCAGCTGTGCTCAAGCGCTTCATTAAGCTACTTGCCAGTGAAGGAACATGGGTCTTTGATGCTCACGTAATTCCATTCGAGATTTACAGTGGAAAGCATGGTCTTTGGCGAAATCAAGCAAAGTTCCTGGCTAAAGATTTGGCCAATGCCTCTATACCAATGGAGTTTCTGTAAGAGGCTTTGCATGGCGATGTGAGTGTATAATCTTAATGCGAGCTACGCCTATAGACAGGACCAACTGCCAAGCTCAAGCGGAATGTCAAATGATGCTGGGGTGCGATGGAATCAGGGTTATTCAAGCTGCAATAGAAAGTCTCAAGTGTGCCCCCTTTTGGATTCTTCCAAATCCAGATTGGCTGCTTCACTTTGCCTTTGATTTTCTTAGGCCGTGTTTCACTCCAGGAAGTCTAAATTCGGGGCGTGTGTGATGCGGATAGTACCATTCTCTGTGCCTGAGGGAGCTTGAGCTTGCAGAGCCAAAACATCCTTTATACTAGGTGCACGGCGACACCGTTGCACTTCACAGCCATCACAATGTATTATGACTAGACACGTATTACGGAATCCCAAAAGATAATGTCTATGCTAATAGGCTGCCAACATCCTGCTGGGATCGACACACAGGCTGAGGGTGCCGACACATGTGACTAGAGCTCCATCCGATGTGTCTTTCCCTCATGTTGATGTCGTGCTGCCAGTACGATGCGTTCAGTACGTCGCACGTCACTCCTTTGACAAGGTGGTGTATCGTGTGTTCGTACATATTTCGAATTGAAGTCCTCGTCATCATTTACCACCATGTTCTGCGTTGTTGTTGTAGTTCAGCAGCTCACGGCGCATCAAGCGCTTTGATAAGCAATAGTCGCGTTTAAAATTCTATTGCTTTTTAAAGCTATTTACAGTGAAACACATGTTGCGAATGACCCGTGCACCGTGCGGATCGCCTGTTCAATGCGTCATGTCACTGTCGTGACATGTGACCACACTGCGCATATTCTCATCAACACAAAATTGCTACCACAAAAAAATTAAGTCACCAGCTTACAATCAATCTCGAATGTATTTACTGCAAAGAATGCTCCGTATTTCCATTCTCTGTGAGAGGTCCCGGTTAAGATATTTCTGAGCGCAACGATGCCTTATCTGTATCGATCACAAACGGCTCAAAGTGAAGAGGACATAATCTGAATATGACAATAGCACAAGCAGTCGAAGCCATCCCCTTGTCACAAAGTGGATAGATTTTCTCCATCGCATTAATTAACGATACACAAACACAATGAGAAAATTACGCCCATCAGTATGTTTTTGGTGTAAAGCACAGCTTATTACACAAACCAAAGCGTATTAATGAGTAAAAAAAATTACCGGAATAGATTTGGGAGACCAGGATCAGGACAAATACGACTATTTTTATTACCACCTTACCCGCTGCCTCTTCTGTCGCATTTAACATCCTGTACGAGGTGATCGATGAAGAGCGGTGTCATTTTGTACTGTGCTGGGTAAGTAGTCGACCACGCCAAGCTTCAATCCCGCTGGAAAACCGGTTTTGATCAATCAGCAATGGCGTTTGTTATCACGAGATTTGCTCGCAGTCTTTACTTTGTAAGCTAGCCTTTAGATAACTTATACAGATTTGCTAGTGTTTGATGCGGATGTTCATATTTGCCTCTCTGTGTTCTGGATTACTATGGATAACCGTGTTGCCAAAGAAGATCTGTGCGCGTGAGCGATGCAGTCTAAACAGCTGTGTCGCCAGACGGCTGAACGTCGCTGATGCCTTAGACAGTATTTAAGTATAATTAATACCTTTATTGAAGTAACAGAGATATCACTAACACTTAAGAGCGGTAAATGATAACCATCAAACAGGCCACGATGCACGGCACAGCTGACTGGGCTATTCGAGACTCTTCGTTCTAAAAAAATAATTTTGCGCTGGAATTGTAGCTGCATTTTGCTGATTCGGGCATGCATGATTTGCCGCTTGCCGGTGGCCTATCTGACGCATTATGTCAGTGCAAAGAGCTGAGGTCGATACTCTTTCGCCTGTTTTGTGCTTCGCACGGAAGAATACGTATCAAATATTGAACTGCTTTTTTTTAGAGGTTATTATGACACGGTATTGGTTTCGAAAACACTATTCAATCCCGTGACAAGTTCCTCGATCCGTGACTAACACCCACGGCGGAGTCTGCCATCACCACGTTGTGATGCTTCTTCACAAAGAACGAAATGATATGTGAGATCCTTGAGTATAATTGTTTTCTACCCTCCGAGAGTTTTCAGAAACAAGCTCAATCACGACGGATGATTATCTTACTTTTTTTTTATGGTGCTATAAGTATACGTTCGGTCATCTCATCGTCTAGTAAAACCTCGCATATCGTCATGTTCAGCGAGGACTTTCAGCTTGGGTAGTGAGATGAATAGCATTTCATATGACAACTCTGCTTACTTCATTCATGAATTGATGAGCTAGGTCGCCACAAACAGTGAAGTTTCTTTGCTCCAGGCAGTAGACAGGGCCATCGGTGCTGCCAATTCACTGATACTGTTACGTGACAAGAATGGACCATCTGAATGATACCACTTCGACTCGTAACTATCTTCACAGCATTCAGCTAACAAATTGTTAGCCTTAGCCGACTCGACTCTGGAGACCGCGATACACATTTGATTTTGCCCTGTACCAGCATTAATTGCAGAGACCCCGGCTTTAAATGTAATGATCCTTTTTAGACATGCATCCTAGAGACCGCGGTCCACTGCAGCTTCAATCTTCCGAGCTTAGTCCAAGGCACTTAGCAACGTTGTTGAGAGCCAGTCCAGACAACTTAATCTCCTATAGCACCAAAAGCTATTAAAACTATGACCATTTATCCACAAGGAGAGAGCGTATAATATTTAATTCCTCAACTTCCAGCAATTTCATGCTCTGACAGCCCACCGTACAGCGATCGTATCTCAAAATCAAGTCGAGGATCAGACACCGCTCTAGGTCTCTGACTTTATTGGAAGGCTACTGGAACATAGAATTTTTGTCACTCTATTTAGTGTCCGTCGAGGACGTGACAACGTACTGTCTGTATTTGGCATGTAAATACCTCTGCATACTGTAGATTATATGTCTTCCGTCGCACGTAACTGCACAGCGCTCTTGACTCTAAAAGCTTTTTCTAAAGCCTCACAACGAGTGGGACGCCGACGGTGTAATCCAACAACACTAACTTATTTTGCGGTGAGGGTTGCTTTAAACTAAAGCAGAGTCCCATTACTTTTGACAGCCACGAGGATAAATCGAATACAATTACTTCACAGTTTTACAGTGCGATGTAACTACGAGAAGACGCTTCCTTGAGGAGTCCGTCGGTCGATATTGCGGAAATTTGACTCTTCGTACCTTGTAACGAAAAAACCTGAGAGCACACAAAGCGTAAGCGTTTAGTATCGCAGCAATGTCATTCTTCGGGTACCACGTTGCTGCTTGGTGGCCAATAATTTTATCTCTTCCTCCGCAGAAAGATGGGCATGATGGCTTCTATAATTCTCATAGAGTTCCTACCCCGCGTCAGATTAGCTTACGCGGCAAGACATTGTGCTTCGCATCTAAAGCATCTCTAAATGTATCCAAAAATGTAAGGTGGGCGCGGAAGGTTTCGATGTGAGACATATCTGAGCAATGATCACCATCAAAGATAGCAACCGTTACCATTTCCGACCGAGGGGTAGCCGTGACCAAAACCCACTTACAATATTCCAACTCGGAAACATCCGCTGACCAGTGCTCTTATTTTTGGATCTTTTTTGTATGTTCTACTCCCTAAACGGGTGTACAAGAATTACATTTATTGCACACGAAAAGCCAGATTATGCATTGCGTTCTTTCGCGACGTCGGTCGCTTGTACAATCCAGTTCGGAAATGTCTCGCTTACGAAGGTACCACACGTGAATGCCGATTCGATACAAATAGTACCATAAAAGCACAATATGTTAGACTCGTGCGTGGCCTCCTAACTCATGGTCCACTAGCGCGACGTTCTGTTGCTCTGTTTAAAAAAGGTTGAGATCATGCCGTCTTAGCCTCTCATATCTTTCCTGTTTCTGCTTTCAATGGACCTGATGCTTATTGTATACAGCACAATGTGAGCTCATGCGGGCCCCGCAGAAAGCTTGTTGGGTGCTCCTGAAGATGTCTCACCACCACTATTTGTGGCTAAAGGATGTCTCCGGGCAAGCGGTAAATACTCTGAATGTTGAGCCGCCAATTGCGCTTGAGGTCTCTAAAGCGCGTCCTCTTGTATCTAGGACACATGCACATTGTACCAAGTAATAATCGAGATACTTTAGAATGGTTCTTCACGTTGGTACTCCTGAGCTTCGCTTCAAGATCGAAGAATTACATTGTGATGTGTACGTACACCGATGTAAGATACGTACCCCATGACAGTACGAGTCAAAGCTTCCTCTTTGCAACGTACGGAGAAACCCGGTAAGAGAGGCCGTGATATCGTACAAAATAGCCATCACATGTAAAGTTGTCTGGTGGCTTAAGCGACATTCTCTGTTCAATTGTTTATTGAAAGCTTATGAGTCTAAATTTGAGCGACAATTTTCAAGTTGCTGAACGCTTTGCAGGGTAAAATGCTAATTAAGCAATAAGCACGTATACATTATATTGATGTGCATCTTTGCATTTTATGTTGATTAGTCTTTAGCTTGAATTCGGAATGGTGTACAACTCTCAAGTATTCTCAATGCCCTGACCCGGACAATAAAGATCGAATGCCACACATACAAAACGTAAGGACGAACCCCACGTCTCAAACAACCAAGCTTTCAAACGGAATTTTCTTATCGCTCAGGATCGACTCACCCGTGTCCAATTACTGATCACGCGGAACCTTTCTCCATTTCAGTCTTCAAATATTCTTGAACATGTACACGATCACTCAATCACAGTATCCCTTCACGGTACTCTATCACGACAAGACTCATGCATCCTGAGCTTCAATCTAGGTCCAAAGGACAATTCCAAAAAAGGCCTAAAGCCTCATATGAATCCATCAGACACTGAATCTAAAAAGAAGGTAGGAGAGCGTCGATTTGAGAAGCTTCATAAAGCGTAAACATCTCGCATTATCTACGCATGCCTTGCAGAACTTTTCGTAGTCAGTTACTTCCTTTCAAACTGTATACACGTGAGAATGTATTCATCGGCCATGGTTTCAGCCAATCAAACGCCTTAACTTAACAACTTCTTCATCACGATAATGAGCGGCACAACGAGTATCATGGATCAGACTAGTAGCAAAGAGAATACCACATGTGCATATCAGAATGCAAGTTTGCAGCGAGCTGCTAGAGATACAAAGGTGGCAGTAGTGGGCGCAGGTTTTCTTGGCAAATGTATCGCTATCGATTTATCGTTGCTGGGTGTTCAAGTGGTTGTGTGCGATATAAACCCACAAACTGCCAATGCGGTTCGTAATGTTAACATGATTATCATAATTTAAGAATGCGAGTATCTTGATCATTTATAATGCCAGTTATCGTCTTTTGTGTACGAAATGTTGCATCCACTTCTGCATCTCGGCTACGTGACCAAGAGCATGGTAACTCAGGCATGCAGTCACATTACAGTAGTTACAGACGTAGCGCATTGTTCCAACGCAGACATCGTTATCGAAGCGGTACGAAAGTATACTGAAGTTTCTGTTAATTTTTTAGGTCTAAGTTTGTCATATTGGGGATAGATTCCTGAAAATATGGAAGCCAAAGTCAAACTTTTCAAGACTCTTGAATCGCATTGTTCTGCTTCGACAATTTTGGCTACAAGCACAATCGATTTGTCGATTGATATGATTCAGTACGTTGACTTTCTTACTAGTGTTTCCAATTTTTGTTGCTTATTCTTTTCTTGTAGGAGGCATTTGCAGCATCCAGACCGATTTTTAGGCCTTCGATTTTTCTATCCCTGTGTTCTTGTATCACCAGTGGAGCTCACAATTGGAACATCCACGTCACAAAAAACGGTTGATCGCGTCGTTGCTCTAATGCAGCGTTTGGAAAAGCAACCACATCGCGGCCCAACCAAACGCGTACTTAGTACAAAAGAAGCAAGTGCTTTTCAATTCGATACAGCAGTGCGCGGCAAGTTCTACCACGGTCTACTTCCACCTAAGCGAAATACTTCAATTGCTGATATAATCACTCCTCATCCTGGACCCCCTCTAATTCAGCCGACAATTGATGCTACTACAAAAACACAACACCATTCATAAATCTGAATGTTTTGGTATGGTCTCGAGAAATACCAGTGATTATCGACTGCTTGTGAGGCTGCTGACGAGGTGAAGAACTGGTGTGGAAGTATGGTATCTTAATAGCACAAGTCACTGCGATGGCTTGAACTTGCTACGTGGAGAAATTGACATCGTATCTCCATCTGATTCATCATCGAAGGAAGTCTGCAAGTGTCGTGTATATTACATATTATTGTGGAAATGAAATTCTTCGTAGTCTACCTAGACGAGAATTGATACGCAGCACAGCAGCTCTCATACCAATGACAAATTAAAGTACGGATCAATCTTTGCTCTGTATACTGCGCGAATGTATGGTGAAGGAAGTAGCTTTTTCAAAACGGCATGACCTAGTTTCTGAAGAATTGGATTGAGTGGAAAGTTGAACATTAGTTGATGCACTGTACGCACAAGCATGAGATCTTTGTTCAACGTGACGGTATCAACAACCATGCCGTATCCTTTGCGCTTACTTTTCTTATTACTTACTCGCTCGTCTTCTTGATTCATTGCTCTAATCTTTTCGTTTAAGACGTACAGTACCCGCTGAATCAGGGCCTGATCTGATGATTTGTTTTTTAATTGTTCGACAATGCTATTGAACGTCCATCGAATTGTTGGATGATCTTGCTGTTTTCGAAGATTACACTTGGCAAGGGCAAGAAAATACGCTTCATCATTATCAATTTTTTCGTATTCGTTGAAACAGCGCTTGGCGACGTCTTTGGTAGTAATTTCTGGAGTACAACAACGCAAAGAGAGTGCGTACAATGGCGTTACAATCTGAGATTGATCCATGGTTTGATTCACAACCATTTGATTGTTTGCTGTAGCATCTAACAGGGTCAATAATATTCCATAATCTGGTAACTTGGTATTTGCGGTCATTAGTAAAGCACGTAAGCCAGAGTGTTCTTCAGGATGAGCTAAAATCATCTCGCGACAATATCGCAGTAAAACTTGTACTTTGGTTACACATTTCGAATTGTAAACGATCACCATGTGCAGTGGCAAATACCGTTTGTTATTGTAAGTCCGACATCCTTTGTCGTACATTGTGCACAATTTGTGAAGAATCTCAATGTGTAAACCTGGTGCTGCTGCAGCCACATGAATTGGGAGGTTACCATTCACTAAAGAAGTTAAACGACAAGCTGCTGGCATACGAGAAAGTAAAAGCGAAAGCAGCTTTGTGGCTTTTGGCTGGTGCATTAAGACCAAGTGCAGTAGCGTCGTTCGAGTAGCTGCGATCGCAGTGGCAGAAAGAAGCCATTTCTCCTGCTCTTCGGACGGTATATGTCTCGACTTAATTACTGCGTCAGCTGTCAGTTCAAACATTAAAATCACCAATTCTTCTGGAATCCCATACTTGATCCCAAGGTGCACAGGAAGAAGTCTGTTACGTTTTGGAGTCAAAAGAGCTGCAGGGTAGTATAAGCACAGACGTTTTATAAGCCACAACCAGCCTGTAGCCAGAGGCTTCTCTTCGTTGAGACTTTGGTGAGCAATGAAGCCTTTTCCCACTCGCAGTTTGTATCGATAAAAGCCATCTATCGCAAGGTGCAAGGGCAAATCTCCTTGTTTCGTTGGTATAGTGCAAAGAACAGTTCTGTCAAAGAGCTTGAAAAAGAGCCGCATGCTTCTTTTTAACTCAGACGATGTGAAATTACCTGCCAAATGCTGTTGGTGAGTAATGAACAAGTGAAAAGCAGACTCACCCCGCTCATTGAGCAGCTGTGGTACAAGATTTTGAATTTCTTGAGCACAAACAGAAAGAGCCCATTGAAATACGTTGAAAGATGTACCATAGCTTATCACTCCATGCAAAGGAGTATCACCATTGATTGTTTGACACGCCCATATTGAGGTTTTCTCTATCTCTATCGACCTTCCAGTCAAAGGATTTCGAGCCAAAAGGGTAACAAGATTAATGGTTGAGTGCTGATTGCGCAAAGCAACATGTAAAGGAGTCATCTTAAAGGCATCATACTCACTTAGCGCTTGAGGGTATCCGTCAACAAACGAGCGTACGAGGGCAACTTGCAAGGGCATATGACGAACAACATAGTGGAGGGGAAGATACGCGAAGTCATGACTACGTTGCCTGAGCTGACGTGGTCGACGTCGCGCAATCAATTGTAAAAGTACAACATCCGGTTTGGGCGAACGTAATTGCGTCCAAATATTGCAACTCAGACGTTGCTCCACGGTGGAAACCACATCGTAAAAGTAGAACGCACTATATGCCAGCATTGGACGGTGTTTGTACCTTGATCTGTGTGCTGGAAGGGATGACAAACAATAGTGATCGTATAAGTTTTTTTTTGCTTGAAGCTTGTCCAAACGTTTGTCGAATTGATACCTCTCACCTTTCGAAAAACAATCGTTTTTTTCAAAAGGAGCCACTGCAGACGTGCTGGTGGGGTAAAGTGGTCGAGTGAATAAGACATTACCTGTTTGTATATCAGTAAAGTAAAACAGACGAGTTGTCGTATCGACATGCATATTATATCGACTACAAACGAGTCGGAATACCCCTTTTCGGGCCAAGTGACCGCGTCCCAATGCTTGAATCCGCTGAGCTGCATCAGGTTTCAAAAGTGGAGTAATGCGTAACTTTAAATCATTTATAATCGATCTGATGCAGTCTACAACTTCGATTTCAATTGTAGTCACATCGAAGCGTTTAAATCCATACACACGCTTTTTTAATGCGATAGACGTAAGCACTTCATTTGCGTCGACTTGAGAAACTGATTCTAGCACGGTATGATGTTGAAATTGATGCATGATCGGTTGACCACGCTTAAAAGTTTTCCAAAATGCCAGAAATTCCTCAATATTGATCTGACCATCTCCACTGGTGTCAATAATTTTCGCCAAACGAGTAACTTGCTTTATATCCATATCATGACCAAGTGCTTTAATAAGTGACAAGAGTTTGCCTGCATTCAGAAGACCTGAATGATCCGCGTCAAAAGCGTTGAATAAAACAGCAATCTTTCTGTCTTGTTGTTGCTCGGTCTCGTACTCTGTAATAGCTACATCAAGCCCATTAGAAGCCATTTGCTTACGACGAAATTGTTCTTCTTCTGCAGCAGCTTTAGCTTCATGCTGCATACGAAGTTGTGCTTCTGCATGCAAATTCGCTCGTACAATCTCAAGCTTTTCCTGCTCTGTACTCTCGAAATGATCATACCAAGCGAGAAATTGATCGAGAGAGACTAATTGTTGCATCGGGTCTGCTACAAGGTCATATAAAGCTTGACGGTACGCTAAACCACGAAGTAGAAAATCACCAAGTAATGCTACAAGTCGCGGAAGTAGATTGGAATCAAAACATTCTTCAGTCGTATCATTTTGAACAATAATCACAATTGCATCTGCATTCTTCAAAAAGTGACGACAAATGTCACGTCGACGTTCAACGCGTGCGATTCTCGCAGCTTCGATCGACTCGTTTTCTTCAATCTGTAACTTTGTTTTCCACCAGAGTTGAAACTCTTCAAACGTCACAAGTCCGTCACCACTTGCATCGAGAATTGAAAAAACTTGTTGAACTTGCGCATCACTTATATTGGCGCTTTCACGACCTAAAAGTGCTCGATAAAAGAGCTGGAACTCGTCAATCGATAGCTCACCACTCTCATCCGTATCGTATCGACGAAACACACGCACGATTCTGTCATCTAACGACTGTTCAGCTGAACTGCTTTCAAAGATCTTTGCAATTTCATTGTGAGGCTCTGGTCGGTTCCACTGAGTAAGATTTTGCCCCTCGTGGTAGTAATAAGTCTGACCATCAGAGTCCACGAATTCTTCCCATCCGTCCATTTCCATGTTCTACGGAAAAACCAATCAGGAAGTCGTTTTTTATTAAAACGAAAGCTATACAATGTACGAATCATAACCGTCCGTCCACGTTTTCCGAATATTCAAGCACGTTTTGACGAAACATACTTTCGACTGGAACGTCGCTAAATGCTTGACTGTGCAAAGTACAAAATACGATGTTGGTGTCGTCGTCTTCATCTCCAGTTTATGCCAAATGAGACCGATGGGGCTTTCTGGTATAGCTACCGATCGATTTTCGAGTTTAACAAGACGATGCTTTGCTCTCAAGGTAGCGCGTTGCGCCACTCAACTCTGTTATTTACCCAGAAAAGCATCAGCAAAGGATGTTGTAATCATAATCAAATCCGAATCGTGAGCAGATGGAGCTCATACTCCTAGAAGCTGTTTGATATTCATTATTACCCGGGCTTCTAGCAACTTCACCTAACTTATCGAGCTATATCGGCGAAAAATGGCTTTTGTGCGCCAAGCTTTTCGATTTAACAAAGTATGTTGACTAGCTTCGAGAGTCTTATCGCGCGCCTCCAGTCGCTAGGCAGACAATATCTAGTAGCTTAGCATCAGGGCGGTTCAGGCGTTGCCCCGTTTGTTTCTGCCTTTGGTCTCACACGCTCAGAAACGCTTATACAAAGCAACAGCTGGATTCATCCATTTGATGTTTTCAAATTTATAGACAGCGCGATACGCAATGTGTCTGATCTTTGATTGCGACTAGAAAATACGGCTAAATAGGTCGATACAAGTACAAGTACTTGAATAGTCATTTCTTGAAACGCACTTTGGTCGATTTTTCTCCCTACAATTGGTTCTGCGTGCGCCATCAAATTGCGGGACCCATGCCCTCGCGCCAGTTCAATACGTCGTTGTTAGCCATAAGTTAATGATGCACGACAAGTTATACTCACAACGTATATAAGCTTATCATCTTCCATGCGATCGTCCTTGTCGAATTCGGTCTTACTTTGGTGGGTATAGATCACAAATGCCATTTAATACCTCGAACCAATTGCAAACGTTGGAAACCTCAATAACCCAATTTAAGCTTTCCCCTCAGGTCAAAAATTGAACGACATCTGCTAGCTCAGGTTTTTCTCGATTGATTGCTCTTGGTGACAGCTGTGGTGACCCAAATCCTGGTGCCTTCCACCTTATTACCACGTTAAATCTTTGACTGGATGACAGATCGCCAGGTTTCGACTGCCAATTTACGACACGTATTCATTATTCTCTTTTGCGACAACTGACGCTTTCAGCTCCAACACTTGCATACCGTTAATACCCACTCTCAGCCAGGATCATTGAGCAAGATGTTTACTTTTTCGATTTTGTAAGCACGTAGTAGCCTCAAGCACTTTGATAATCAAAACATTTACTCAGATCAATGGTATGTAACGAGGTCACCGCTTCATCATTCGCAAATAATTAATCTTGCGACACATTAATGCGTAAGTGGACCATACAAGGCCCTTTTAAAGACTTGATCGGCGTTACTTTAACATTAGCCGTGTTTGCGCCTCGATCAGCCGGATACACATCTTCCGCCCACATCTTATACAAAGACGCCCTTGTTAAACGATTTAAGGTGCGCCTTTGATATAATGGTCTTCTTCAGGTTTCTGGCTTTTGCTAAAGGGACGGAGCGGTGATGCATCACTCTACTCCGCCAACCTTTTTGACAAATTCATTTACTCAAGCAAAAACATCCGTTCACTCTCCTTGTTGTTGTATAGCTTTCACAATCCTTGACGTTACCGGTCACTCTGCTCTTCTTCTCCTTACGAATCCGCAGAACTTTTAGCTGTCATGCCCAATGCCGTATGTAGCCGATCGAATCATGAATGCTTAATTTTTCCAAACCCATTGGCACTGAGGCCAAGTGCTTTGTATCGCCCGTTTAATATTCATACCTAAGTCTTCAATCGTTGACACTTCCAAGTCCATACGACCGCAAGTTGTATCCATATACATGATTGCGACTTCGAGCATACTCAAGGGATATATCGGGGTGTAGTGCCGTATTGAAAGGTTAATGACAACGACTTTGTGGAATCTGGCGCAGCACTGTTCCGTATTAAGCATCGAGGTAGGGATGAAAGCCCAAAAAAAGGGGTCCAACTCAACGAGAGCACAAACAAATAGTTTTTATTAAAGGTGGTGGATGGCTTACTTGTCTATCTAGCTTGGGGATTTCAGAATTTCTAACAAAGCAGCACATCAGTCACTTGGCATGTTTTACGTGTTGATGGTCTCGACCATGTGGAAGTTATAGATTTCGATCAGAGCAACGTTCGTCTTCCCACTCTCCTCACTCAGTGCCAACTTTCTGCATTAGAAAAGCTGATGATATGAGTCGAATTGGGCATGCCTACAATAAGCCCACTGCAAATATCATTTCGGCGCATTAAGCAGTTGTCTTCACACTTCATGTTTTACAAGTGTCAAATCTTGACATCAACTCATATCTAGATTGTTGTTGCTATCTGTTCTGCACGATTATATAATTTCCATTCAACGTAATTTGCAAGTGATACTTAACAAATGTACTTAATGATCTATTGCCTTAGAATATTGAAGTCGATTCTGATATGTAAAATGAGTTTTAGTAATCTAAAGGTTGATTCAAGAATAATGCAATTACTTCAGCTACGGTGTCATACCAAAACCGTCATTTTATCCCTTCCTCTCACCTGTATAGTTTTGTCCGTTGAATCAGATGATATAAGAAGGAACATAGCGAGAAAAGAAGAGTGGAGGCAGTGTCATTTTAGGTTTTTGTAATGGGGGCTTTAATAAGTGCTCATATGTTTAAAAATTCTCAATCGAAGGGCTTTTGATGTGATCAAGAGAAAGAGTAGGCTCATGTTTTGATACATTGTGACCTACCAATAGCTTTGTTGGATAAAGCAAAGATTAAGGCATTAAATTGGATCCATTGTTCTCTCGACCGAAAAGCCGCACCGGAACGACATTATATCTGAACCAAAACGAGCCTAAAGAGATATGCACAGTCCGAGTAATAACAGCATGAGGATAATGACTTTTACTCGGGGGCAATACACCACCCAAGAAAATTCGATTTTAATTAAGTGTGCGATTCACGTGTCGTCATTTTTATTTAGAGCGTGATGGTTGGAAACAATCAACAGTTAGAGTCAAATTATGGAGCGCTGTTGCGATATATGGATGCAACGGTTTGTGGCCTAACGCTTGATCATACTTGTTGCTCCCTTGGAGGATCCAGTATCCCATCCATTCTTCTTTAATAGTGGGGGGCTTACAATTTTTATCATCAAACTTCACTTTTTCTTTTTGCGAGCAGGCTACATTTTAGTGACAAAAATTGGAAGCTAGTGTCCATTCGATGCCAAGGCTTCAAGTACGCTCGAGCTGTTGACAGAAGACTATATTGCGTATTAAATTATAAGGAAATATGCGACTGGATTCAGCTTTGCTAGTGCCTTGATTGTTGAGACGCTGCCGCAGCAATATTGCTATATTGAACTGAACGATGAGTGGAATGTAAGTGAACGATAAAGTAATGTTTCCAGTGCAACACCAAGACCATAACGCACACCTTTTGAACGTATCACTGTTCTAACACCGTTCATATTACTTGTCCCTGAGTTATGGTCTGAAACTAATGCATGCATAGTCAAGGCAGACAGTCAGAGCGAAAATTTAGTCTTCCCGTGATTTCCGTGTGCACCCCATTGCGCTGCAGAGAAAGAGTATGTCATATAATATAACCTCACCCACTATGCATCCGTCGTTGCCTTCACCAGCATGGAACTGCTGCAAAAAAAGCGTTGACGTCTATGCCTGATCGCGTGGACTCTTAATTGCTGACATTGCGTCGGAAGGTGAAGGCGAGATCTCTCAGTAAACAATTACTTAAAAGCAACCTCTTTGTGAATATGCTGACAACTGGGTTAATAGCGCTTCATTGTAGGGTTTCCATTCACGTTAGCGACATTTCTTTTGCTAAACAACTTGCAAAACCAGCAGTCGCTCGTCGAATTGGCCATCCATTGCGATGGCGTGGCTGCATGATAGTATAAGCTCGACGAGTTGTTTTAGGCGGTTTATGCGTCACCAAATGAATCGACAACTTGAATGCCATGTCGATTAGCTTTCGTTTTGCTAATGGCGTACAAGCAACCTGATGTGCTGGGAATCAACAACTCACGATATTCACAATATTCACGCTTTCTCATTGTTCAAACAAGCTGGTCTTACAACGGTTATATTTGAATAGTGACCGTCCTTTTTGTCATGGTGTTGTCAATCCTTCTCGGAACGATTGGCGGCCCGACCGGATTATACTGTAGGATATTCATATGTTTACTGATTATTACGCTGTCGCTTTCGATCGTTTTCGAAGCGCTTGCAATCGTCTTCGCAATGTTTTATGCCACTGATCTGGAGTTCTCTTAAACAAGCACCTTTAAGGAGAATAAGCTCGACTAAAGGGCAACAGATAAATATTTGATATCATAATCGATCTGAGTTGTGCGTTGATCCTACCAACACTTCTGGATCCAAGAATTAAATCGAAGAGACGTCTGGAAAAGCCATGCACGATAGTATACGTGATAGCTATCATTAAATTAGTGTAAAACGGTTAAGCACTAAGTTTGAACAACATGATTGCTCATCAGTAGGTAATAGTGTCGATAACCCACAGATGATTTTCCATTGCGTCGTATAATCTTGCATTTGATTTTGTATTGTCAAATGGAAAGCTCGCGTTACGGTTCTTGCTGTTACTACTTATAAGAGAAATCGTGCAAGGCTCTGTCCACAAAGTATTTTCATTCGGCACAGCATTGCTCTTATCACTTGTCTTGTCAGATAAAGTTGTCACTGAGAAAGCTGTAATCATATTCATGCAGTGAAAGCTTTCCTCGAATGTTCAAGATGAATCTCTTTAAGCGGAGTGGCATAAATTCTGCGTCAAATTTGCTGAATGAGCTTGATGGCGATTGGAACGAAAACATTGTCCTGCTGCTATTTTGCATTTCTAGCATGTCTGGCCGTCATACGAGGAGGGTATTAAATTTTGAGAGCTGAAATCTTAACCATATCTACGACACTCGTAAACAAATAACTAAGAATGAATTAGTCGCAATGTACATCCACGTTAGGTGATGCGAAATGCTCAAAACTAAGTGGCGAAGCGACGACATCCTCGTTGAATTACTGGATAGGTATGGGCTTTCCCATCAGGTAAAATTCTTTTATGACATATTGCAAGTAGAAATTCCTCAGCCGACAGATGCAAGAAACATGTTTTTTTTAGCACAGCAGATTTGAATGTGTTCTGCATCAAGCTAGACTTTATAAGGCATTTCTGCCACCGTTGAATACCTGAGGCGGTTATATGGTATCATTCTCGTGCTCTTGGCTCAAAATATCGTCAAAATCAGTAAAATATTGTCGTAACAATACACCGCTTGTATTTAAGAGCACTCTCGCAAATAACGGCATGGCTATGAAGGACGCTTGTATTACAACATCTTTTTGGTTGATGCAATGCTCATGACATGCATCGTTTTCCATCGCTTGACAATAATACTAGCAGCTTGTGAGCAGGCCTGGCTACCCCTCCAACAGAGCGTGATTGCTCATCGTTTATAAGTTGTAGCAGCGGTAGTAAATGTATTATTGAAAAAAATTGTTTAGTCTGCGTTAGTGACTGCTTTACGCCTCCGGTTCAACATGGTGATTTGATGATAACAAACATGTTCAAATAAAGTTAGACTCTCAATTAAGCTGTAAAATCGGCTCGACTTGCCTAACATATGCGAGACGCATTACATCATATGTGCTCTAGAAACCATCTTTTTTACACGCCATCAAGAGTTACACAAGATTTCAAAGAGCACAAACTAGTTTTATATCCTCAAAAGTAGGTTTATCATGCTCAAACTAACGATTAGCGTAATGCACAAACTAATTTCTGGGTAATCTGAAAACTTACATTTCTCATATGTGTAGAAACTTGTAGCAACATTTTTGACATGAAATGGATAATGAAATCGCAGTACTCAACGATGCCACGATGAGTGTCAAATTACAAACTCGTCCAGCCCCGCGACCAATTGTTTCAATCTGATGGGTGAAGGATAGACTTTACTTGCTAGCAAAGCTCAACAATATCACTTGTATTTTGACCAAGAGAGACGCAGACGCTAAAGCTAAGATTAAAGTACAGCGCAAGAAAGATAACACGATTGAATATCTTACACTCTCAAAACAATCATGGATTTCTCCGCGTCAATGATCAGCAGTACCAGTGGGTACTTCTGGATAGCTCCGACGCCCATGGTGATGATGTCTGCAGCACCTGAGGCGGAGGTAGATATCGTTCAACCAACGTGGAGGTTATACGCAAATATTCTTGTGGCAGTGCTTCAGGCCATTCAATTTGGATGGTCCACCTCACAAATGAACAACTCAATTTTCAACAATGAGGAGGACTGCAATGCCCAGCCAATTGAGCCCGGTACGTGCCTCATGTTTCCTGGTCATACCAAGACCCAGTGGACAATAGCCGTCAGCTCGTGGATTGTCGGAGGTATGATCGGTTCGCTTTTGACTGGACGAGTTTCAAACAAATTCGGACGAAAACCGACCATGATGGCAAATTGTCTTTTCATGATCGCCGGTGGCATCATTCAAGCTGCATCTAGCACCATAGCAATTTTTACAGTTGGGCGAGTCTTTGCAGGTATTGCGGCAGGTGGTTCAACGGCTGTTATTCCTGGTTTCATTGGCGAGATTTCCCCACCACATCTTCGCAGTAAATTGGGTGTGTGTTTCCAAATTTCTATCACTCTCGGTCATTTGCTCGTCGCAATCACGTTCTTTTTCGCAAGTACAAGTACCGGATGGAGGTACATTGCTGCGTTTCCAGTTGTGCTTGCGTCACTCTTTCTCTTATTAGCACCCGCTGTCCTGGTGGAAAGTCCCGCGTGGTTGTTAATGGTTGACAGACCCAAGGAAGCAGAAATTCAACTCGCGCGTCTCTTTGGTGAAGATAACGTGTATACAGCCAAAAAATGGATAAACCAACAACAAGAAGACGTTGAATCCAGAAGAGAAGGAACCGTTCGACTACAGGACCTTGGTATGTCAAAAGTCACACCAGCTCAAACGGAGGGTCAACCCAGTTCGCTATATAGACTTTTCACGGCATTACTTCCACAAATGCTGACGGCTATTGGGGTTGCTGGTGCTCAACAACTTACCGGAGTGAATGCAGTTTTCTTTTATTCATCCAGCATTTTTAAACGAGCAGGACTTGCAGACGGTCGGATTGGTGTCCTGTTAGTTAACACCATTAATGTACTTCCAACTTTGTTCTGCGGACTACTAGCCTCGCAACTTGGAAACCGAAAACTTGTATTGTTCGGTTTTGTGGGTATGCTCATGAGTGCGGTTGGCATTACAATGTCGCTAGTGACTCATGTTTCTCCACTCGCTATTATCTTTGTCGCGCTTTATGTAACTACGTTTGGTGTGAGTCTTGGGCCATTGGCTTGGGGAGTCATGGCGGATCTATTTCCGGATGATGTGCGAGCTGTGGGATGCTCCATTTGTGTCGGTTGTAGTTGGTTATGCAGTCTTACGGTTGGATTGACCTATCCGTACATTGCGGCTGCTTTGGGTAATTACAGTTTCGTGCCATTCATGTATACAATTACATTTTCATTTCTCTTCTTTTACTCAATCGTGCCCGACACGTATGGAAAGACCATCCAAGACATTCAGGACGAGTTTGCTGCAAAAAAGAAGCCGATTCCAACAAAGACTGATGCATGGCGAGTGTCTGGTGCAAGTCAGATTCCCATCTTGGGATAAGTATAGATAGTATTGAGTCCAAAAGTATTGTTTGGGGCTCTATGGTGACGACTTAAATGAGTTATAATATATTGTTTCTGTGTTGGATGTTCAAATGTTAGATGGTTTTGGTGGGAGGAATTTGTTTTGTACTTAACCAATTATGAACGCCGGACTTTTGACAAAGTGCATCATAACTTCTCGTTGATCTACAAAGCTAAAAGCTACTTCCTTCTTGAAGATCCGTGTCTGTTGGTCGACTGATTGCATCAAATACCACTATAAATGAGTTTATTACAGAGCGACGGACCTATAAACCTACTTTCTCCTACCCACTTTCCTCTCTTATGTGAAGGGACTCGTTTGCAAGCCTCCAAGAGGAAATATTCGCGCGTATACAGCGAACAACAGTTTGTCAGCCAACGTTCAAAATGACTTCGTCATATGACCTACACACCATATATCGACAGCAAGTAATTAAATGATATCTCTCAACGAAGCACTCAAACAGACAATGACAGCACAGACAGATTTGATAATTTATAAAAGGGGAACCGCGTAGCTAAATTTACTTCCATTGCTTTTGTGGTATGTGACGTCTCGTTTGAAATTGAAGTCTCGTTTGCTGCGGCTCCGAGGAGTCATTGTCCAGAAGTAGTCAGAATTGTTAATATCAGATTTTTTAGTCTCATGTGTCATGGTCCAAGGTGTACATTATGCCTGCTTTCTTAAACTCCGTCTTGCTTAGCGACTGCTTGATAAAAGGCAACACTTTAACAATAGCACTAAAGTCGGGTCGCCGCGTTGGGTCTGGATTCCAGCAGTGTTCAATCAACTCAGCAACCTTAGACGGCGTGTTACGAGGCAATGCTGGCCGCATTCGATGTTCGGCTACAGCAATGGCAGCTACAAGACAAAAATACGTCAAAATTACTTCTTATATATCAAAAGTCCTCATCTCGTACTCTGCATAGGAGTCTGCCTTTTATATGGAATGTCTTTAGTCAGTAGCTGCCACATGATGATCGCAAAGCTGTACACATCAGCCTTTCTAGAATACGGTTCATGTCGAATAATTTCGGGAGCCATCCATTTATATGAGCCTGTCTCAACTGTTAAGTCGGCTGTGTGCCCCCACTCCATAATACAACTATGTCCGAAGCCCGAGATTTTGGCTGTACCCTTTCCATCCAGCAACACGTTGCTACTCTTTAGATCTCGATGGATGATAGAATTTTGATGTAAATAAGTCATGCCACGAGCCACATCGTTCGTTAGTCGAAAAAAATTAATGCTGCACATCAACTTGGCTCGTAAGACACTCGATAATGTGCCACCATCCATAAACTCGTAAACAAGACAGAAACGAAGTGGGACACTAGCCGAACCCAGAAATTGTACGATATTTGGATGGCGAAGCGCTCCAGCCACTTCTTTTTCATGACGAAATTCTTTGAAAAGTTCCTTGGCTAAATTTTTTTGACCAGCGACTGACAGATCCATGAGTCTAGCCGCTACATGCCTTCCCATCCAATATGCGCTAAATGTATTTCCCGAGCGACCCGTGCCAACAACTTCCTTCAATTTCAGCTCAGTGAAAAGCAATGAGCATGGAAACGATAAAGTTGTTGTTTTTTTCTTTTTGCGGCTGAAGAGCGGCATAATTTAGATTTGCGAGAAGCAATATACCAAAAAGTGCTTGATCTGGTTTCGAACGAGCGGTAGGAAGCAAGCCTTTCGCCGATTTGTGCGAACTCTTACGAACTCTCTTCCAAAAGGAAAGTTCTTGTTACATACTTACAGCGTCGCTTTCACATTGAAATCACACAGAAAGGCCAAAAGTGTCTTTTCCATACGATTATATAGTAAAAAGATAGATAGGATTCAGGTAACAGCTACAGCTATGTCTGCTGTCATTTGATCATCAAGATTTTGCATTCACATGTTTAGAAAAAGGTTTCACCGATTCAAACAACCGTCACAGTTTTCAAGCTGCATCTTCAATGCCTGTATGAGCTGTCGCAATATTGAGGCGCATCTCATTATGCCGAGGTGGTCATAGATACGCGTCTATTTGCAAAGAAACAGTGCTATTGACGCCTTACTCATTCAATCTCGATTTCAGACTGTTCATCTTCAATGAGCGATTCTTGAATCGTATTGTAATATTTAGAGCATACAAGCGACTGTTATCTTTTTAGAGCATACAAGCGACTGGTATCTATTTCGCGAAGTAAATACGCTGATCTTTTGACAGTGCTTAATGTCGTCGCGACCAAATGGCGCTAGCTATCGCATTTTGTCTAGTTGTTGGACTGTTGTTAGACAAGCAGAAAAAAGGTACCATTACGCTCAATCAATCAATCACTTAAGATGAGCTTTGACATCCTCAATTTACGTTCACGTAATTCGAAACAATGTTCTACATTCTGTACTGTTTGCAATTTAGTAGCTTACTGCGTGGAAGGTCGTTTTGGTCCAGGCACAAAGTCGACCGCGTGCCGAACTTTTGATTCAAAATAAAGACCCCTTCTGCACTCCATCGGCAAATTCAATGCAGAGCTTATAACTACAAGATCTCTGAGCCACTCCAAACCACTAAGCTATGTTGCAAACTCACACTTCGAATTTGTCATTCAAGTAGCTTTGACATCGAAGCGACAGGTGTGGCCTTCGATAGGACATACATCCTTTTCTCTCTGTCCACACGTGCATTAGCTTCATTCGTTCTGCTCCGATGTGATCTCGCTCGAAATGTAAGTATGCTTCAAGCAAGATCTGTATCTTTAGTTAATAGCTCATGTATGCACGATAAAAGCTGGGGCGGTGAAAACCGGCTACAAAATTGATTGATTGATTTGATCTTAGCACCTCGTTTGCTATGTTGAATGACACTTCACATGGTATCCACTGAGAGAACTCTTGTACAGTCAAGGGTAGTGTACGCAAACGACTTTCAGTATCTTGCGCCGACTTGTGGACTTCGTGTACGAACTGCCTTCTTGCCGCTCGACGTAATTGTCAGGGGTTTCTTATAGTGTTAAGCTCTTCTCATGTTGGTTGTTGTCGTGCCGAGATTATCATTGATGATAGTTGTAGTTTAAGGAATGTTCCCTTGCGCTAAACGCTGGTACCAATTATTAACACATACTCGCTGTGTGGTGTCCTTCGGTATCTTGGCTTTGTTTTGAAGAAGGAAATTAATGTAATGGCTGCGAACTCGGCGTGAGATGCCTTAGCCAGTCCAATGCAATTTATCAGTACGAGCGAATGATGCACTGCGTTCTGCACAGACTCTCATGACAGCATCACATTTTAACAGAAGCGTTGGCCATCACCTCATCTGACATCAAAAGGCCATTCAATACTTGAAAATAATAATTTGTGAGGTTACGTCGTAAGGCTGGAAACGAAAGAAAATATATAATTTATAATCGTTTGAGACATACGCATGCATCCATGGCAACAAGTAAGCATTTGCACAACACGTTTGTATCGCTTCGTCTTTGCTTCTAACGCGAAATGCTTTGTAATACACTACGTCAACAATAACGATAGTAGGACGTTACCGCGACAAAGTGTAACTTTCAAAAAGGCACCCGATTTGGCAATCACTCGAACTGTTGAAGTCTGGAAGCGCAACCGATTTGGTAGATAATGTACTGAATCATCGAGAGTTGAATAAAAGGGTGAGACTTTAACAAATGGAATGACCAACGTTGAGACACTGGACATCATCATTTATGCTTGTGCAAATAGTACAATTCAATTATGTCCACTGCTTGAATCACTTCAAAATTTTCAGACCGTGATTTTCTCATCAAATTTCACAGTTAGGAAAATTGATCCATACATTAATTCGCTTTCTGTCTATGAACTTGCTGAGCAGTGCGTCGAACGTCGTCCAGCATTGTTCGTCCCAATTGTACCACCTTACTTGCGCTTCCATATGCACAATCCATTCTAACAGATATCATAACAAATCTGAATACGTGATACTACTTTTTAGCTCTGACACCTCATACCCGACACTTACATGAAAAGAGATTGTTGTAGATGCTTTTCAGCTTCCTGTAGTTGCTCAGCTCGCTTTGCAGGCGATTCCTTGCCAAAACATTCACTTACCTGATCATGCAATAGGATTCCAATTTGAAGATGCAGGGTACCTCGTGTAGGTAGTGTCAAATGCGGCAGCAGCCAGCCAACAGCGCGCAATTCTGACATAAAAAAGTGAAGTGCGTGGCGACGCAGCTCTGCAGACGTTGCATTTAACAAGAATTGTCCAATTTCGCGAGCCATCACAGCGATCTGTGCATTCCAATGATGCAACTTTAATATCTTTATAGCAATTTCCCATTGTCTTTGGTACGTCATCCACATGTCGTGCTCAGAAACATTGCCTTTTTGTTTCAACTTTATTTCCTTTTGATACTTCATAATTTCTTCGACATTCCTTACTGCTCCACACTTTTTGCAAATTGCAGACGCGATCTCATCATTTTTGTCATGACTCACGACTACGATCCCATCCACACAATCCTTGTCATTGCACAGTAACCCACCCAAATACCAATCTTCCATCGTCTCTTCCCTGATAGCAGCAAGACATCGTGCACATGTACACTCAAAAAAGTAAGACTCTTTCAACTCTTTTTGTCTCATCTTCGACGATTGCATCACATCAATGTAAGAAAGCGTAAGCTCTTGACCTTTTTCAACATCTTTTACCACATGCACCAGCATCTCTCGGTCTTTAAAACTTACAATACAATTCGGATCACAATCATGATTAAATACTGAACCATGTGGAAACAATCCGATACCAATTGATTCATGCGTCACATTTTCTGTAATTGTAAAGGCGTTACACTTGACTCGTCCGAATAACTTCATAATTTCGGACTTGAGCTCGTTTCGATGCGTTACAAATTCCTCTTTCCCCGCAAATTTGTACCTGGACAGAAGCTGAAGTACCAATTGCGTCATATCAAGGATTTCTTGTCGCTTAATTTCTGTATGATCGTCCAAGTGGTGGCACAATTCGAGCACACGCGTCTTTTCTTCCTTGTTTATAGAATCTAGATAAAGTGTAACAGCTAATCGTGCCACGAACAAAATGTTGTGAGTAGTATGAGGACTTGGAATTGAGCGCCAGGCGGAGCATTCGCACCGATGCAGTGGCCAGTCTTGTTGCTGACACGCGCGAGAGCAGTAGCGAACATTGCGACAGCCTGTACAGCGCTGGAGTGTAACTTGGGTTGCAAAACACCAGTTACAGGCAGAATACGATACAGCGCATATGGCAGGAGTGCGGAGTACGCACGAGCCTGCACGTAGCGCCGCTGAAGCTATGAAGCAGCGGCCTTTGCGTGCATCCAGCACCTCATGGTAAGGAACTGCCATGTAGGAAATATATAATCATTGGAGTAACCGGTATACAATATGTCATTTAATTATATACGATTCCTTATGTACACGTTCTTGCTATCATCGAAACTCATCTAGTCTAAGTCGCAATATAAGACATGACTACATAGCAGCATTTCCAAAGAAATTTTCGAGCCAAGCGCAAACATGGCGTACAGATTGAAAGAGAGAAGAAGATTTTTCTTTAGTAGTTGCACCCGATCTGCATCTGCAGCGAGGTTACCGTGTACCTTGCACAGAGAATGCGTTGACTCGACTTGTCCGCGCAATTGAACATACAGACGATGGATGCGTACCCTCTACCAGTAACGGAATTGAGAGCCTTTCAAGTTTTGCTTTTCAAATATAAAGAGTGATATGTGGAAAATTCATTCTAACTTTAACGGGCTACATGTCTTGTGATCCTAATTACAATTGTGAATTTTCATAAGTATTGGATTATCGGTATTAATGAATATTGCAGAAATTTCGAAGCATGTCAGAAAATAAAGATATTTTTATTATTAAATATTGCAATAAACAATCTATTTTACATCATTCTGAATAAACTGTAATGTACTCTAGTAATATCAAAGCAAATTGTCAGTTATCTTGTAGAATTTCGGTTCCGCTCTGGTAGAAGCGCATGAATCCAACCTTTGTGCACTTTTCAACGCGAACTCTGAGAGTCAAACCTTTTTCGGAGCACGAGAGTCAAACCTTTTTCGGAGCACGACCTCGATTGTATTTGAAGCGCTTCCAGTCCATATCGCGATGGAGTTGTAGAAAGGCTAAGGCTGTATTCTCAGCGAAGGAAGAACATAAATGTTCGATTATCTGCCCTTAGTATCAATAGACCATTTTTAGGAGCTTTTGTCGATCTTGGGTTCCAGTGGGATCAAGGAACCGGCGGCCAAGCGGCTGGAAGCGGTTATCGCTCCCATGGGACCCTCACTAACAATGCGCTGCTAAATCTCGATCGGCGCCTTCATCGGGCGCCGGTGGGATAGCAAATGTGCTTGTCGTGAGACTGCTGATAGATATTGAGCGTCCTGGTCTATGAGAGCCGGAACGGAGAAAATGAAGGAGGAAAGCTACGATGGCCATGGATTTAACCTTCTGCCAGACGCGGTCGCAGTGCGTTGTGCGTGCAACCTTAAAGCTAAGAGGGCGTGCGCAAGAATGAAACTTGTATGCAATGCTCGGTGAATAGAAGCTCTGAACCCGAGAGGACTCGTAGCGACAGCCGTCGCGAGTGTTCACACCGCCTAATCAGGTGTAACGAGTGCGATCGAAGTTCCAGTCTATACGTCAAGGTGGAAATGAACTGGTGGACTATGTCCTCGATCGCCGGAGTGGCCTTTGATCCTCTTTCGGAGGCGTTAGCGGTTACCATCTGCATGGAGGGTCTCGAACGGGTGCGGCTTGCACCGAAAACTTTGCGTCCACCCTTTCTCCCTAAAAAACCGGTTGGTGTCGTATTTAATCCGATACAGCTTCCGTGCCGCAAACACAGCATGGTACTTGAGATTGTTAGTTATCATGATGAGAGAGAAAAGCTAAACCTTTAGCTGCTGGTCTGCTCCGCGGTACCCGCAAATTATTAATTTGTGATTGTATAAAACAAATGCCCCCTTGACTTTCGGCTAAGAGGTACGAATGGTCTGACTTCTACGTATGGTTGAAGACAAACCTCTCACGGAAAAACAAAAAGTCCCGATAGGCGCAGGGCGGCCATTCAAGGAAAATGAGTTATATTATACCTCGTGGAGGTCGTGGAGGTCGTGGTCAATGAGATTGAGCCCTAAGAAAAGTGACTCGTTTTAAGGGATGGTCCAGAGTTGTTGGCTGTTGACATTAATGTCACAGTCTCTGTAAAGCCATCGAAAAACGTGAAAGATTAGGAAGCGTCGTTCAATTATGTACAATGCGTGACTGTCAAAAGATGTAGACGAAACAAGAAGGCTACATACGGGTACGATATCTGGGCGTCCTGAGATGAGGGCAGTAATAAAATGGTCTACGGTTCGGTTGAACTTCAAGTGACGCTTGGGCACTTTGTGACACCGAGGAGCATTATCTTGCCCCGGACCTAGATTTGAGATACATGGCGAGGCTGATACGCCGCGAGCTTTGGATCAACTGAAAGTCGAACAAGTTAGATTCAATGTGCTTCTGATGTAACATTGGCGGTTCGTGAATTCACCTCTATCAGGAGCAAAATTAGTGTGTGTGTGAAACTGCAATAAGACATGGAATTGTGCAAATTTGATTTATTAGTACTGCGAGGTGCCCCGGGCAAGGATCAGAATATAGAAGCGGCAGTAAGCCGAGGTATTTAGATGAGACAAAAATGAACGATTGTTTAATGCGGTCTCTTACGATTATCTCTGTTGAGATGTTAAAAGGCGAATGTGTGTTGTGGTCATCAGAGTGTATCACGGTGAAATTAGCGTCACGTTAATTTTTCAGATGTGCGACTGCCGGTAGAGAGTGGGTAGTGGAAGCGACTACATGTCATAATCTCCTGTGCCAGAGCCAATAGAGTATAAGGGTGGTTGTGAGACGCGAGTAAGAGAGCTGTGAATGCTGTATTGCAGCACAAATCTGGTATCTTTCAGCGTGTAGTTGTGGATCCTGATGAGGATTGAAAGTACAAAATACTGTACGAGGCACATAATACCCCTTTGGGTGACCATCCCGGAGAGAAAACTTACATACTGCTCGGTCAGCGCTGTGTCTTGTCGGTCAATATGTACAAGTGGTATGCACATATGTGCGCACGTTTGAAAAGTGCCAACAGACTAAACATCACCGTAAGCGTCGGCACTTTTGGCCAATCTGCCGGGTTTTTTTCATAGTGGTGGTAGTCCATAAGTATAAGCGTTGTCTCTGGTTGTCCAGGAGATGCTTCTGGTAAAACTGGCGTTGAGCCGTCTGAGCAAGATGACTCATTCCACTGCTGTCGGTGACCCTGTGACCGGTGTGATATAGCTAAAGTATCCTTCTACACAGCAATTAGCTAACATGGCTTTTAGAAACTCACGATTTAAAGACAAGTTTTGGCAAACTTTGTGTCAGTCACTCGGAACAGGATTGGGATGACTCGCTGTAAGAAAATAGCTGGTCGGAATGCGTGAGTCACTTTGTGAAGGATTTTCTTGAAGCACTTGTGCGGGGAGACCGCGGTGCTGAAGCGTTTTTCTTTCAACGACTGAGTTTGCTTTGAATAACGCTGCAATATATACCTCGATAGACATTACGCCATTTCACATAAAGGGTATGGTAAACTGTCAATTGCCTTTAACACCCCCACAAAGTGGATCCAGTCATAGTGGGGGGGCACTGTCGATCAAAATTGACTAGCTGATATCAGTCCGGTTGCACTTCGTCGCAGATCAGTGAGTCAATCGCGATGAGATTGAGCCTCACGCGCAGCATGGCCGACAACGTAAACGGGATCCAGACGCGGAAAGATCACTCTCCGCCAGCACTGCTCGATCAACAAGAGGTGGTCAGCTTTTCCGTTGAATGTTTTGCGGGCAGTTGTAAATACAAGGGCTGCCAACAGTACCTGGTAAAGTGAAAACGTTGTCCTCGGTTTAAGATCTGATGAAAGTGCGAGTTCTATTACCGAGGGTAATCTTTTCACTTTTTACGTCGGCAAGTTTGTCCTGGTGCGGTGGCTCACGTAATGTACCCTCAGTTCTTACCTCCTTCGAGAAGAGGCGGGACTGGAAAGCGCAAATCCCACTGGTGGGTGTTAATGTTTATTGCGGTTGAAAACCGCTTGTCGGTGGCTGTTACAGCTTCCTCATAAAAAGAGCGGATATATTAGTGGCAGGAGCTTGCATTGATATTTTGTCACATTGACATCCGCGTCAGAGTTCCAATTTTTCAAAATCAAGCATGAGACGATGCTTTAACGATACTTTAGCGGACTTCTGCTTTGCTAAAGAGACTTGAAATGATTTAGAACAGATGGAACGGCGTAGTTTCTCCAAAAAAATCGGGGAATCTATTTCTCGGAACTTTTGTCCACATTTAGTACCAAAGGCGCATCCCTCATGGAGGGAACGCACACGGTATTCATGGAGAGTGATGACCTTTGGGTGAGACGACAAGGCTGTGTGTCGCCGGGCGAACTGAAATGCTACCTGGACCGTTCATATCGGGTAGCATCTCGGCTTCCTCATCGATCGTTTCCAAACGCGTCGGTTGTGACCGTGCTTTCTGGGGGCTTACGTAATTTGATATTTTGCGCAGGAGCGAGCTCCCAATGCGAGTACGCCCAAAGAAATAGACAAGGTGGTGTGCAGAGAGTGAAGTGAAACCTCAGGCATTGTGAGCTCACACATGTTTTGCCGTTTAGACATCACTCAAAAACTCCGTTGCGCGTGGAATTCACTATGCCATTTGGAGCTTACAATACCTGCTTTTATGCGCCTCAATTGCATCAGAATTCCTCACCCATTTGTGTCTCCATGAATCAACGAGCCACTGAGAAAGGTGAGGTCTAACGGACGATAGTCTCAAAGCTTTTTTTTCGTAAAAATGGAAGGTGTTTTTGGAAGAAAGCTATCACAGTGACTCTTGCAGTCCTGAAATGAAACCCTGTTTTGACTGAAAGCACCTATCACCGAGAAGGAGGCATTTCCGCGCTCCACCTCTTCTCTGTACATATTTCTCACTTCCCTTTTTATAGATGGAAGGCTTATCGACGTCTTGCCGCGAAACTTACTACGAAGTTCTGCTTATTGCCAATGAGTTGGTCCTGGTTCAGCAATTCAAGTCAATAAGTTTGTGTGTTTTCGTGTGCAAGAATCACGACGTTGCTTGGTTACAGACTCGATCACGTCGTGACTATAAATTTGATCCATTAAAGTCGCTTTCGGCACCAGTGAGAAGCCGCTAGGCGCCAATGCATGCGAGCCATTTGCTGTCAAGGGAACAAAACGAGCGCGTATAGTATTTTACGAACGCATTATAGCCTCATAGATCATCACCACCCCAAAATAGCGCCTGCACTTGGGAGCAAGAGCGGTCGGTAAAACTCGCCCATTCATGAGGGTCCTTTCTTGGACATTTAATGCCTAAAAGTATCGAACTCAATCTGCGCATTGGGTAAGAAAGACACGCCCTAACACCTGTCTACAGCTTTTGCAAACCAGCTTAAGCGCAAATGAGACGCCTAAGCGGAACGTCGTGCATCGATTCTCCTAGCAATATCTAGCACGACGTGGATGTATAGGTATCATCTTACGTTATCTTTGCCAATAGCTATATAAGCCTACTGTTGTTGATACCTGCTATTTTCGAACCTGTGAATAGTGCGCTACACTATCGTCTCTTCTTCTAAGAAGACAAAAGGGGAGGGTGTGCCCAGTCGTAAGCGGCGAAAGCGCAGGGACAAGCTCTCTGAATTGGGATTTTCGACCCCACGGTTTTGCGGTGATGTTTTTTTCTCTTCTTTAACCGATACTCGTGAACTGGCCGGCAACATTTTCGCTATAGTCAATTCCTGATCATCTTTGCTGCATTGGCAGCGCACAGCTTTCCCGCGGCTGACCTTCGTCAGCTCTCGCCGTTATTGCAACTCGTCAACGCTTTTCAATAGTATCGGCAAACGGCTGACACTGAGATTAACCACGTGTCAAACACGCCCTCTGATCAATGCCACTACAGTGGGTGGTTTGGGGCACCTCGTGCGGTTCAGTGCCGTCAATGCCGCCGTTGTGCAGAAGAGAGAAAATCACAGGGGATAGTTGAGACGTTGGTTTGACAGTGTAGGGAAATAGCGATTTAGCATACCTACGCAGAACGCAAGATGCGCTCGCAAGTATGTTACTTTTTCAGTAGACTGCAGATACTGTGCACGTAGATTAAATCTCAATCAGCAAAACCGTTTCTCCCGGAGCACATTCATGTGTGTTATATCCGCCTGTATTTCTAGAAGCACGGAAGGCTAACCAATCGATCTGTATGAAATAAGGAAAACCTGTGGAGGAGTGATCATCGTTATTTAATAAGCACAATGAGTGGGATCAACTAGTTCCGGTATTTCGGCCTCTCCGCTCAAATGATTTTTTGAATATGTACCACCAGACCGTTGGTTTGAGAATAGCTGGATGTAGACATGTCCAATCTGTTGCTAGAACAAAGATGGAATCTTGACGCGAAAAGATAGCCACTAACAAGTTGAGCTGGCAAAAGTATTGTCGATGAACAGCGAAAATGTATCCTCACCGAAAACGATATAGCTGGTGACAGCGAGATTGCTCAGACGGTTTACATAGACCACATTAGTGGTATCAACAAAGGTGTCGTTTGTAAGGAGGTAATTCTTACTAATTGTGTTCTTGATGATTTGTCTCCATCCCTTTAAGCTTGCATAAATCAAATACAATATCGCATTCACATCCACTGTCGTCTCACTTAATTTACACAACCTGTGGCGAATGATGGGGTGTCACCACAACCATAAAGTAGCTGACTTCGGTCTGAGAATCGAAGCACTCGGAAGACTTTTCTATAGCCTTGTGAGTCGGCTCTTCTTCCGCGCCCCAGCATCATGTGTCATCCTTTTCTGGAGATGGTGAGGTCGTGACATTTCGGCAAATCGCGCAACACTTGAGCAAAAGCTGACCATGTCACTTCTTCTATATCTCCATTAGCACTGGCACTGGCCAATCAACAGTGGCCTTGATCTAAGTGAGATCACCCCGCAAGCCATGGTCTCACTGATGGAATCTATCTTTTGTAGATGACAGTCGATTGCCATAATGGCCGTAAGATCTTTCAAATTTCGGGCATATTTTGCTTACTCTCTATCTAAAAGTGTTGCTAAGACTCAAATATGTTCTATGAAGATGCCTCGTTCATTTTTGGCATAAATGTTAGCGCCGATTGTTGCGCCCAGCCACCCACATTAGTGATTGCTTGGACGAAGCGCTATTGCGCAGTCTGGTGCAAGGCTAAATTCATTGCTACAGTCAACCCCAGGATAACTAATAAATGCGGTGAAATATATACGAGTTTTTTATGGTTATTAGTTATTCGAGTTTTTATAAGTTAGTCCTTGGCTTCATACAAATAAGCTTGGTTACACAAACTTTTATTAGTTATACGAGGATATGAGTTACCCGAATGAGAGTTATCCAAGGAACAACTGTATCATAATCTCCTAATTCCAGAAATCTTTACCATGTTTGCCCTCAAAAGGCTTGATGCTTGATAAAAGCGGCCTCGCTTTAAAGATCTCCGGAAGAGTACTCTAAACAACTGATTGACATGTTTCTGAGATTGGTAGCATGAGTGTTTTCATAGCTAATGAACGATTCGCGAGTGATAACCATTTTCGGGTATTGGACCGCCGATAGCGCAATAAAGGTAGAAAGTGTATCGTGTATTTAGTTTTGTTTTACAGTCTCACTCAGACTCGGTCATTCGATTGACGTCAGGTGCATTGAGTGCACCGGGATAACCAAACATAGTACAGAAGAATTTGACTCAGAATTCACGTTCAATGACGCACAAAAGATGGACTCGCATGCTACCAATGGAGTAGAACTGATCGAGACTAGAAAATATATACAGTCGTCCCTCGAAAAACTAGTAAATACGGTGGGAATAATAACTATGAGTTATTCGAGGTTATTATATATCCCACTTTTCTGCAAAACAATCAAAGTGGTGAACTGCGTTGCAAAATTACATTTACAATAGATACGCCACCACAACAATTATAAATTCGCAGAGGCTCGAGGTCTGTAATCAAATGCCAAAGATCAGTGGATGAGTCAAGGTGTGGACCACTCAGAGGTTTGGCGTTGGAATCACTCAGTCTGCTATTAGCAGCATCCTTGATATGAGTCACGAGCTCGAGCCCGTGACATATGTTGAGATTTCGGCCAAACGACCCCGCGTTGCACATCACCCGCAGCTCGATGAAGCCTCGGCAATATGGGTACTTCAATGCCAGACAAAGCACGCAGCCACTACTGGAGACCTCATCAAAAGCAACATAAAAGCTTTTGCTGACCGACTTGATTTGAGCGAGGGTGCAAGCAAATATTACAATGGGTGGTTGCAACGCTTTCAAGAGATGAAGAAGCTGCTCTGCATTAGAATCCATGGTAAGAGTGGCGCAGCAGATCAGTCAGTAATCGATGCTGTCCTTCCTGCGCTTTTAGCAGTCATAGATCGGTATGAGCTGAAGGATATGTTTAACATGGATGAAACTGGTATTAATGTTACAACGTACATTACGTGGGAAATCTTTAATTGATGTCTTCGTAGGAATATTTCATTCCATGATTCCAAAAAAGACCATTGCACAACAGCAGATTGAGGCATGTCGACAAGACAAAGTAAGTTTATTAATCATAGCCTTTCAAATGAAAAGGTTGACTAAACTATCATTCTCCCTTCTGCATCATAAAACACTCACTATTGCCTTTGCTGCCAATGCAGATGGGTCAGAGAAGCTTAAGCCATTCTTCATTTCAAAAGGCCAATAAGCTTTGCTGCTTCAATCGTAAGACAGGAGAGCAACTGCGTTTCGATTATCGCAGCAATAGAAAGCGTGGATGCCCAATTCTCTCTTCCAGGAGTGGTTGAAATGGCTTGACAACGACATGAAGGTACAATAGTAAACGCTCTAGATGTGTTCTCAGTTATTTCAATCACTGTCCTTTTCGGCCAAAGTTAGCCAGATTCTTCTTTTACTAGATAACACCACTTCTCACACAGTCGACGATCACGAGGTGGATAATGTCGAGGTGGGATTTCTTCTTCCAATTTGCACGTTTAAGATCCAGCCCATGGATACTGGGATAATCACCGCGTTCAAGCGACATTACGGGCGTTATTATCTTCATCTTGCTGTTGATCGTGACGATCGAGGTGAAACCAACATCTATAAGGTCGATCAGCTAACTGCAATGAAATGGAGCAAAGCAGATTGGGAATAGATACTGTGGCCATTTGTTTTCGCCACACTGGTCTTTTTGCAGGGCCTCCTAAAATATCGGTGCCCAATATGGAGAAAAAATACATTAAATCGACCTGTGCGACGCTATCCAAAGGCTTCCTCTTGATAACCCCATGGCTATGAAAGAGCTTTTGAGTCCAGTGATGGAGGACGACACAGCCAATCTGAAATTGAATGAGACGAGATTATAGCCATGGCTCAGGAGGCGGAAGAAGAGGAGAATTACAATCAAAGAAACGAAGATGATAGTCACGAATCTGGAAAAGCTAAAGAGCCTAGCAATTTTTAATTAATGCAGTACCTAACGTCGCATTATGTCAATGTGACAGAAAGACTCAAAGGCAACATACTTGGGTAACTCATAATTGGCTACTATTTTACCTGCTATGAGTTAATACTTAGCTACATATATATAGAAATATAGCTAAAATCAATTGGCACTATATAAATGTTTAACAATAAATTCTTGTATAACACATGGCGTGACATTAACCCATCACTCTTCTTCATACCGAAACTAATAATGATTTCAAATCATGAAACTTTCTTCTGAGCCAACACTTATAGAATCGTACACAGCTGATGGCTTTGTCAGTTAAGTAGTGAAGCTGTCTTGCTGTTGCTGTTGCAAATGTAAAGTAGGGGGTGCGAGATGCATACGTTCACCCACCACAAAATCTCAGCGGGAATATCCAGGATGTAGGAAGTCAAAAAGCGCATTGCGAGACTGACGTACTTACAATGTCTATTTCGACAGTAATGCGATCACCTACTAATTAATCTGTAAACTTGTCACAGCACTGATTGCATACGTTCAAGTAGCGCTCCAAATATATAAGCAACAACACTTAAAATGGTGGGGTTCTCCACAATCAAGCTAAGAAAAATTAAGATTTTGTGTTGGAGCAGAAAATATCACGGGTCTCTTTCTGTACGTACGTATGATAGTGATTTGACCTCCACCGCTTTCTGCTAATTCCGTGTATTTTAATGCTTAATCATATCAGTATCGATAGGGTACAGAAATCGGCAAGATTGCCAGAAATATCCGACCATTCGGTCGTGGCGGCTGGATGGATCAATTTGCTCTAATAATATGCGACGGACGAATTGAGCACCGCATTTCATGTTCCACCGAAAAGATCAAATGTGCCATTCAAATAATGGGTGTGGTGTCGCTAAATGCGTTCAGTTGAAGCTGATATGGCACGTGTGGATGCAGTTATCAGACTCTTCTTTGCTGACCAACATATTGCGCTGAGAAACGACAACCCCTTCGTAGCTCATAAACAACGCGACAGTTGTTTTTTTCTTGTGTTGTTCTGATAATATCAAGCGAGATAATTCGAAGCATTGCGATCCTGAAATATTGACGTAGCAAGCTTATATTTGAGCTTTAAAAAAGAGACCTCAATTCGTTCTGGCTCCAATGTTGTCAAATCAATCAAACGTTTTATTATTTCTGGTCACCGGTCAAGTCTGTCAACTGCGACGTAGCGGCGTAGACGCTTTGTATCAAACACGCGCATCATTTTCTTCTATTCTACAGAACCGACCAGTTGTTTTGAAGAAAAATGTAGTACGCGAATGTCCATCAATCTTTGATTTTCAAGAAGAAGTTGCGGTAATCAAAATCCAATTTTCATTCTTTGAATTGCGATCAAATGGAGTTGACGCCGACTGTAAGCAGTGTCAGCCACGTTTCGTTAGATCCGACACCCATCGTGACAGCAGTACCACCGACGTGTTCAATCTCGCCGATCAAAGCAACTTGGAGACTTTATGCCAATATTTTTGTCGCAGCTCTGCAGCCATTTCAGTTTGGTTGGTCTACGTCGCAAATGAACAATGCAATTTTCAATAATGAAGACGAATGCAATGCGATTCCTATTGCACCCGGAACGTGCCTCATGTTTCCTGGACATACGAAAGCTCAATGGACACTTGCAGTCAGCTCGTGGATTCTTGGTGGTATGATTGGATCCCTAGTGACTGGCCGCATCTCGAACAAATTTGGTCGCAAGCCATCGATGATGATCAATTGCCTCTTTATGATGGCAGGTGCAGCCATTCAGGCAGGATCAAGCAACATTTCGATTTTCACGCTTGGACGTGTGTTTGCAGGCATTGCAACAGGAGGCTCCACTGCCGTCACTCCTGGATTTATTGGTGAGATCTGCCCACCACACTTACGCAGCAAATTAAGTGTTTGCTTTCAAATTTCTATCACCTTGGGTCATTTAAGTGTCGCCATTGCCTTTTTCTTTGCCAGTACGAGTACCGGATGGCGGTATATCGCTGCATTTCCAATTGTCTTGGCATTTCTATTTTTCGTGTTGGCGCCCTTTGTTTTGGTGGAAAGCCCGGCGTGGTTATCGATGGTTGGTCGACCACAAATTGCAGAACGGGAGCTTGCACATTTATTCGGACAGGAAAATTTGTTTCTTGCGAAGACATGGATTGAACACAAGAAAGTAGCACCGTGCATGAGAGTTGGGAGCGAATGCGGCATACCAATGCAAGATCTTCGCGTGTCAATGGCTCTTATGGCTCGAACTGTGCCTAAATCACGTGGTATACTCGATTTAATATCACCATCGCTCAGACGACAATTTTTAGTAGCAATTGGTGTTGCTAGTGCCCAACAACTTACTGGCATCAATGCTGTCTTTTTTTATTCATCTGGCCTCTTCAAACAAGCCGGACTTTCTGATAGTCGAGTTGGAGTTTTAGCTGTAAATTTTGTCAATGTTCTTCCAACCCTTTTCAGTGGAATGCTCTCTGCACAATTGGGAAATCGCAATCTTATTTTAATTGGATTTCTCGGAATGTTTTGCAGTGCTGCAGGTATGACAGCGGCACTCGTTGGAAGTTTGCCAGCACTTGCGATTGTATTTACTGCGCTATACGTGATGACTTTTGGGTCGAGCATGGGGCCTTTGGCATGGGGCATTATGGCCGATTTATTTCCAGATGATGTTCGAGCGATCGGTTGTTCCCTTTGTATTGGATGTAGCTGGCTTTGTAATCTCGCGGTTGGTCTTGCGTACCCTTACATTGCTAACACGTTTAAAGATTACAGTTTCGTACCCTTCATGTGCACTGCCACGTTAGCGTTTTTGTTTTTTCACACGTTTGTGCCTGAAACCTATGGCAAAACCATTCAGGAAATTCAAGATGAATTTGAACTGCGGCGATTGAAGAAATTACACGATCGTGAGCAGTGGCGATCGTCGAGTAAATCCCAAATTGCGGTGCTTGCTTAATATAAAAAGTGTAATGTTGGTTAAAGTTAATAAATCATGTTGTATTTATACAGCTTCTCGATTTCGTATCACGAGAGTATCTCTCGAGGACGACAATTTCTACTTTGCTTATTGTGAAAAGGGTGTGGGTGCTGACAAGATAAGCTTATCAAATTATTCAAGCGGGTTATCGCAAGAACGTAAAGTCATTGACATTTTCGTAGGATCTCACATGGGTACTCTTTTTTTGCTGTGTGGGTCACAAGGAATCATGCTACATAATATGTAAGATTTAACTTTTCCATGTTGTGCCATGGCACAGGTAGACACTCTTCGAGAATGCGTCACAAGACAAATTATCGTTCTTTGAGTTTCGCAATCGCACTTTCTAGCTTGATGCACCTCAACGGTGGCTCTGCGGTTGGAGTAGAGAGTAGCTCGGTTACAGAAAATAATTGAAGCTTTGCTTTGTCTGCATGTTAAGGCTTTGAATTTGTCGATCTCAAGAAATATAATTTTGGATAAAAAACCGAGTCTGATTGATAGTAGATGGCTCGTGCGCTAGTCTTCTAGCGTTTCGGCATCAAACATTTCGTTGAGTAACCTGTGCGACTGATGATACAAGAACTTCCTACGAAGATTCGACACAAATCATGTGGAATGAAGACCTTGTTGAGCGAGTGTACCTGTTACATCATTCCAGAAGCAGAAACTGTCGTCAGCTGAATGCCAGAATTTTTCTTATTGTATGGTCAGCAACCAGCGATCTTGCCAACGTAAGCTTTGTTTGCTGATCAATATCAAACTCAATGTGCTGCTTGAGCAACAGTACCAATTCTCGCATTTTCTCACAGAACTCCACTCTAGGCCGTGTCGGCTCTCCTACATTAATCCTTGCGTGTTTAAATTATACTTACTCTGTGGGTGATCTTGACGCACAGAGCTTCAGTGCTGAAGGTCGAATTGGCGAGGAGAGCAGGCTTGTAAAACTGATATTGCTGTGCTAAAGCGACCTCTTTTTGATGGATAAAAAATAATTTTCTAATTCTATTGTCACATCAGCGGCATCCAAGATGAGAGGATGTGGCGATTGAAATGAGTCAGAAATCAGATAGAATTGTTAGTTCCGAAGCATCATACACGGCTGTGTTTCAAAACCTCAGTAGGTAAGTGATAAAAGTATCAATATACTTCGAAAGAAGCTGGTGGATTTGAAGTCAAATTGTTTGCGAGTTTGAAGTGGAGTACCCAACGTGCATATACTCGGTTCTACAACAATACTATTTTATATTTTTTGGGGACGGTCACCGGGTTAGATGCGTGAAGTGAGCCACTTCAAAAGAATCAAGTAAGAACAGTGTTTAGAAGAGTTTGGAAGGAGAGATTAAGTTTGAGCCTGGATCGCTTCTTGAAGTCACGGCACCTTTGAATGTTTTACGAAGTAATTGATATCCTGAGGTTCTCTGCATTGACATAGCAAGATGTATTCCGCCTGAATTATTCAACAAACAATACTTTTGCTGGCGCGGAAGATATGAGACTGGACTACCGATAAACTCGTCAGTGTTCATGTAATGGGGTTACATGTGAGCTTGTGAGAAAAGGCGAGTCGCACAAAATTGTGCGACCGTACATAGGATTGTCTTACACACTTAGTGTTGTAACATAACAGGAAGACCTAGAGATTCATATATTGACGGCTCTGCCGCAACTAAAACAAATTAATACAGTTTTTGCTTTTGAACAGAACTCTTCGTTTGCCTTGGTAAGGATTTTATACTTAGAAGTAGCGGATTGCGATCCGCTACACTTGTACTGGTTCTTGGAAAGAACGTGAGGTTAGTGACCTTAGCTTAGCTTTCTCTAAGCAAAGAACTACGGCAGCCCCGCTGCGAAAAGTGCTCAATTCTCACGACCTATGCACTCAAAGAAATTCTCGGTGAGAATGTGTCATATGTCGGGCTAATTGAATCTTTGCTCTTGAACAGATGCCTCGGTCCTATAACGAAGACATACGGTCTAGCCAGTGACCTCTCAGGATGCACTCACTGGACTTAGGACCACATCTGCACAAGTACCATATATCGTATTATTCTCCAACGGTAGATTGTGTTGTGACACCCCACAGTGAGACTCGCAACGACTTCCAGCTCAACACATATGTGCTAGGTCCGGTAGTAGAAAAATAGCTTGCTCTTTTCTACCGCAAACGTCACGCCGACTCTTGCCGGGGTCTGTACGGTCTCAAACCTTATGTTTTGCTGCGCCGGTGTAGAGACCTTGCATACCTATGCGTGATGGCCTCTCTTCCTTTTCAAAAGCAAAGTGAAAGCGAAAAGTCGTGAGAGAGAGCTCTTAGCCCACAAGTCATCGCTTCGCAGACGTGCCGCCTGCGTTTAGTACAGCAGCGGCTGTAGAAACCGATGTTCTCCATGAGGAATGTACTTTCTTACTAGCATATGGCGACAGTGTCGATGAATTTCAAACTCACATCCCGCGCCAGATGAATAACACACGCCGTCTTACCCGTATCAGGGCTTGCAACGCCAGCTTTAGCAAAGCGAATGGCTGCCTCATACGTCGTATCATGCTTGTATTTGCAGCGTACTAAACACGATGCAGACGCAGAGATATCCATCGCCATCGGTTCCTGCTGTTTACAGCCCCGACCGTCTTCGGAAGCAGCCGAGACAGTTACTTACCATAGGGATCTACTCACCAGAGGATCTACTCACCAGAAGATCAGCTTTCACCTATTTTGGGGGAAGAAGCTGCGACGGGCGACCGTGTCTCGTGGCTTAAGTATATCAAGGCCGGGTACGCCAGGTTGTAAGAGTCCATAGCGTTGGGCAACAATGCCAAAGCGGGACCTCGCTGACGTTTTAAAAAACATTTTTTCACTGTGCTAGATACTGGTGAGATCCGCCGGCTCACTAACATTCCACGTGAATGTGAACCATAACTTACTCATCAAGCGAGTACGACACTCTCGTAGTTGGCTTTCGCAAATTAGCAAAGTTGTGGTGAAACGTCTAAACTCTCTTAGTGTATCAGCACACGTGTAGATGAGATAAAACCGGGGTAAATTTTGTAGCTTCGCCATCGGTTGCGTGGCTTGAGTTACCCACACATACAAATATTCTCGTCTGTTCTTTAAAGCAAATGATGACTCAGCTACAGGGGAGATGGTGACGCTGCTTCAACTGCAACAGTGATCTTGACAGTCGGCTGAAATGTAAGTGCAAGATCTTTGTACTGTTTCAGTCAGCATATAGTACACATGATACGCTTAAATCCTTTTTTGGAAAGCAGGAGTATCGCTTGATCCCTTTTCGCTATACTTGCCCTGAATTGTACTATGAACGGTAGAACATGTCTGTGACGCCATATTTCTCCCATTATATTTTCCGTTGATGTGTGACGCAAAAAACCTAGACAATATCATGGCACACTTCTGATGTGGGGTAACACTCGTAATAGATCTCTCGTCGCCACGTGGTCATATTCCTTACGAAAATATGTGAAGAAGATGTAGGATCCTTGAGGATAGTTGTCTCCTCCTCGCGTTCAGCGTTCTGTAAGTATCCTTAAGGTTGTTCAGATCTCTGACAGATGATGAACACAAGTCCCCTTCGGCTTCTATCGTCTTCAATTCGGCGACCTCATTGACGTGCGCATTCTTTGATACAACTTTTTAAGCTATACGCGAACATTAACCTGGGTTAGTTATGGATGACTAATGCTTCCTTCACCAGTACTAATCGTAGGCTTTCAAATCAAGTGAGAGGTTCTTTCCGGGATGGTGAAAAGAAGCGTACAATTCTTAGGACGGCGCTGGGCAGTATATAGACGAGGTAACAAACGTTTTCGTCCAAGCCGGTAGGACTGTCCTGTTCCGCACAGTAGTGTAATAGGGTTGGTCCATCCGTTTGAATTTCAAGTACCAATACATTCACTCGCGACTGAAATTCGATTCTTGCCCCGAAGACCGTAGGGGTGACCTTAATGACATTAAGGTCTGGGAGCCGCGACACACATTTGATCTTATCCGTTCTGCAAGTAGGGATTTTTGTGTATATCAGCTGCAACTTGTCGCATTGTCAAGGAAGACTTTGGAAGTCGCGACATATTGTTGGTCCTTTCTGTCTTCTTTGAGATACAGTGATAAACGCCCGCTACTTTCCATCATATTTAGAGGCTGTGGGTCACAAACACTTCTAGCATCTTAGATTTGCTCAGGGCACTCACTCATTGACATCGTTGCTCGTCAGTCTGAACAGTACCATTTTTCTCATGAAGCTTATCGCAGCTTCATGCCCGCGCACAATACATTTCGGCTTACTAGCATAGATGTGACTTCGAAACACCAAAGCTTCATTCTGATTTCGGTACGTGGCACCCGCTATTTTACGCGTACAGGCAATAAATGGCTGATGGTGTTTCAGCTATGCATTACGAGGAATTTCTGAAATTTTGTCTGCCATCTTAATGCAGTTGCATCAAATATAGAATATATAGTTGTACGAAATTCACATTGAAGTCTGTTGTTCTTATGAATTTTTGGAATACGGAGGTACTAGTTATTATAAAAGAGGCGTATTTGTCGAGTATTATTCTAATGATATTGATCTGAGATATATGCACTCTTGAAATGTGAAAGCCAGCTCGACATTTAGCTACGGTAGAGTCCCTCGCTCTCGCTTTCGTTTCTAGCCGAAGCGTACGAGTCCGAACTTTGTGCATGTGTCACGCAGACTCTATACGTCATAGTTCCCTCTTTGCGGAGTACACGGCAAAGGCGTTGCACTTGGAAACACTAGTAGCCAGTCCCACAACCGATTCGTAAACGTTCTGTATCCTCTGTCAGTTGAAAATTTACTTATGATCGGGACAATACTGGCTGAATAAATTTATGTTCATATTTGGTTCTGATGGAATTAGAGGCTTGGCGGCCAAGAAGTAGTCGCTCGCCTGAAGGTGTTCGCCAGCTTATAAATTTGCTTGTGGGACACCTTTAAAGCGCCTGAACCGGGCGTTGAAACGAACTGACGGCACCTACCGTGAGGCTGATTCTATTGAGCGTCTAGGAGTTTATGAAACGAAACGGACAGAGAAAACTACCCACCATGTATATTGGAGGCTGAGATGACTAGTTATTTTGATCATACTTTAATAGAGGCAACAGTGCGATGCGCTTGAATCATCTTTGAGGCCGCACATCAGAATAATTCTAACATGCAGAAAACAAGTAAGCAGAGCGTTTTCAATTTGTGAAATTTCAGGCAACAATGTATCACAGATTTCGCTCAGCTCATCCAGACGTTTCAAATACGTATGAAAGCATTGTTTACCCGCTAAGTGAGACGAGAAGTAGCGGACAAGGTCCACATTTTTTTTGCCGCAATGACATTAGATCCCCCCAAGGTGGTAATTTTATAAATAGTGTGCTGCTTGAACAGAGACTTTCTCGCGTCCATTCTACCCTTTCGAGGATGCGGTTGGTGATGACTTGAATGCAGAGTACAAAGTTGTGTCACGAGGGACGAATTTGTTTTGGAAGTGGAGCTTTTAAGCGTGCTACAGGCGATCGGCTCCAGCCATGTCGGGAAGTAACGAGAGACTGCTGATCAAGGTTGCGGTACTTGAAGGTGTTTTGTCTGCAGAAGCACAAATCATCTGCGTCTTGTGTGTCTCCTTTGCTCTCGGCTGAGGGATACAACGGCTCAAGCTATCACGCAAAGGGAGCTGACAAATCCTCCGCAGGTAAGTATCGATTTCTGGTGGCCTAATTAAAAAATGTATTTTATTGAACCTCGTGGGGGCGTGGTGTATAGAATTGAATCCTGGATGGAGACTCGCTCTAAGAGACGCAGGGCTCATAGTAAGAATTACAACGGTTGAAATCAACGTCTTGGGCTTAGTGATGCCGTGGAAAGCTTTCATAGATTGTGCAATTATGTATGACGCGTTACTGCTGAAATAGTTGACAGCACGCGGAGGCACTGAACATGCCAGATATATACGTCCTGCGATGTTGGAATGTCAAATCTTACGTCAAACCTGAGCGCGACACTAGACCAATATTTAAGTTACAATCTCATCCTAGACACGACTTGGCTAGACTGACTCTAACCATTTATAGATCGGAGTCGAAAAGCTAGGTGCTGCACACTTATTTCCAGGTAGGGCTACGGCGAATCATAAGCTTACCACTGCCAAGGCTCTCGATTCAGGCATGAAGCTGCTATATCTTCCGTGTAGAAATAGTGTAGTCCTACACTGATAGCAATAGTATTGCTTGCCGTCTCTAGCAGAAGAAGCGGAGGTGAAGCGCGGTTTCAGATGAGAAAGTATATGGTGGTTTTCAGATAATGTCGCTGGCGATGCCGTAAATAAAAGCGGTGGGAGTTGTATTTTTACCAGATCTAGTGGTAAGTGGAGAGTGAAAGCGACTGGGTGTGACAATCTCCCAAGTTAGATACAATAGAGATGGACAACATCTGTAAGGTACCAGTAAAAAGGGCTAAGCTGCACGAATAAGAATGATGTCAATATTTAACTGTACTGCCGAGTCAGTGCTACCCTGTGATAAGCGTGTGTGTGTGGAGCAGTAAATATGCAAGAAGTAACTTGCAAAAAATATTATCCAGTCGTGATTAGAGTGATCAGCTTCGTCTCAGAGATCGTAAGTATCTCCCTCACTACCTCCGAAAGAAGCTATTAAAAACTGAAACAAATTCCTTGAGGATATCTAAACTGCATTGAAAACATCTACGTCGCCAAAATGGTACGATTGCCAGCGAACAGGCTGGGCTCGTCATCCACCACGGATGACTTTTCGTCAGGGACACCTCAAGGGTTTAAAAACGAGTGAGTCAGCTACTCTCAAGGATTTGTAATTTTTATTTATAGTTTGTCTAGGTAATATCACGAGGTGGTGACACGAGACGCGCCACGTCTGTTAGTCCCGCATAAGAGAGTAAGTCATCAAATTGACCTGGATTCCGACACTAATTTGTGCGTCAAAGGAGAATCGTCATTGCCAGAGAAGCAGTGCAACGTTATACTGTAGGGGACGAAGCGATTTTGAGGTACAAATACCGATGATCTGAAAGAATGTACGGCAAAACACATGGTCGGCAGCGCATCGTTCATTGCATTCAACCTGATTAATATTTGCTGTCAACTGCCAGTGAGAAGCAGTGATAACCCTCTCAATGTAGCTGGATATGCCACTGAATTTTCTAAACACAAGGGCGTCGTTTAATCGTTTGGTCACTTAATCGTTTGGGCCACAGGATGGCTGTGCACAAACCTTTTTCGGCTATATTTTTCCTAAGTCGTGCAGAGCACGGGAATTTACAAAGTGTTTCGATTAGATAACCCATTTGTCAAAAAACAAGTGTGTCTCTGGCGCCAGTAACGTCTTATTTATGGGTTTTATAATAATCAGAAGCAGTACACGCTTGATGCTCCTGATGAAGGACGCTGTAGATTGTCCAGTACCCCTGTCCGAAAGAACTTGACAAAATGGCATGACCCGATCAGCGAATGGTACAAGTACAGTGTAACCAATGTCGAAAGAGCAAATTTCGTGGCGATCTTTTTCAACATGATGCCGAATGGTACTGAGATGTGGCAACAAGAGACCTTCGAGAATGCGATTGAAAGCCTCATACGTGCCCCAGATCCGGCTTTCCCGATCTAAATTCGCTATTCCGTTTTGTCTGTGAGACTTCATCCTAACAGAAGGTTGTGCTGCTCTCCAAGTTTGGATGATGGGCATGAATTTGTGATCGTCTTTGAAGTCTGCAGGCTTAAAGCTGCAAGAACGACCACCCGTTTTTTTGACAAAATGAAGTATGCTTTACACTTAGGCTGGCTGTAATTCCGCACTGGCTTACACGAAACTCAGTGGGTGCCTCCAAATGACAACCTCAAGGGTAAAATACTGCGCGAGACTCTGGTTGCCATCTCTGAAGCGATGAGATACACTGCTCGATTAAAGCACATTATTGGTGGTCCAGCCTGTTATATGGGTATGCACGTGCGAACGCGTCAACAAAAAAAATATCGTCGAATTGTTGGCACCTTCAGGTAATGTGCTCGATCCGGCAGAGTATTGGCAGTCTAGATGTGTGAGATTTTCTTTGGCCTTCAAATAGACTCGTCCATACGTATTGTTTGGGCAAGATGGCTCGCCTCGCTGCTGCCTGCGACCTTAGGATGATTTTGCTTTAGCAATTTAGCAGCCTGTCGTATGCTCGGTTATTGTCTATTTTGTAGATGAGGTAGGGTCTTTTAACGCAGCCTAGTGAGCGGAGAGCAGCGGACCAACCTTGTGGTGAGTATGACTTTTGGTGGATGGCTGTTGCAGCTTTATCATGGAGATGAGCTGAGCTGATAACAGCAGAAATCGGAGGTGATGGGATGTCACCTTGACCTTCGCGTTGTGCTTTGTTCGTTTATACCCAAGCTTCAGTCGAAAATCCAGCTGAAGCTGGTTTGAAAAGCATCTAGCTGGGTGAGACGATGTATGTTCATCATTTAGTGTACATTTACATTTATACTTGTCTTGTCAGCTTGAAATTTATAGAGTACATCTTGTTTGGAGGGTACGGATCTTTACAACTGCTTTTGGTCTCAGTATAGGTGGGACTTCAGTGGAATGCTAAATTTTGTGTTGAAATAACGCTCGCGGGTAACGTTTTCGCGTGTGCTTTGCTCTAGTCAGAGCAGAAGGCCCGTGCGCATAGGTGGGTTAAGGCTCCGCAACAACGCGGGGAATTTAACAGGCTTAAGGCAGTAGTCACGACTTGTGATTTGGGAATTGGTCGAAGCGATATTGAGTAAGCTGGAGTCGTTGAGCTGGCCCTGCTTGATGGGAATAGGCTAAACATCGTCGCGTGTTCCACGGCGGGTTTTTGCCGTTGGAAAAGGCCTGGAGTACGGCCTGCGTAAAGATAATTGGCAAAGCGCAGTGTGAGTCTCCTTCACATTAAATGGTCAGATTGTTTGTCATTGGAGAGTATATGTGCTTGGTCACGAGCTGTCAAGTCAATAAGACATCTCTTGTTGGAGATCAAACTTAAAAATGACATCTATTATCGTTTCTGAGGGAGAATCTGTCGCCATTGCATCAAAGAGAGTTTGCAACTCTTAGAC